CGATGGGTTGGGTGTTTACAACAAAGTAGAACTTCATTGTCAATGGTGGCTGAAGAGAGTAGTGGTAAATTTGTTTCTTAATCTAGCATTGAATTGTGTGAGGGAATTGAATAAACTGTAGAAATCGGAAGATGAGTAAATGGTTTATTCTGTGTTTCAGGTGTTGAACATTGTGGAGAAGATAACCGTGATGTATACATACACGGTTTGGAATACTCAAGCAACAATCACACACAAGCAAAGCATAAAGCTATTCTAACAGCGATTGTAAATTGGACGTTACTTGCTTACCTCTTGGAGCTCCTTTCTCTATTGTTCAACTCTGAGCGCCTCCCCCTCGGTTGTAATTTCTTGCCAAATTTTTTAGCTCTCAGACCTTGTGTTTTCTCTCGGTTCCCCTGATCAAATGGAGCTGGATCGATAGTGGCTGGTTTTGAAGGTGAGAAGAGTTGAGATTCCCCTTTCCCCTGTACATGCTTCATATCCCGCTTAGAGTCAAAAGCCTGGCCTGTCAAATGGTTGCTTCCTGCCACAGACTCTGTTCTGCTCCACTAAGACAGTTTCGGTGCAACATGCATGGCGAGCAGAAGATTTCACCAGAATGGGAGATGGCGTGGAAAAAGAAAGGAGAGAAAGTTGACCTTTGCCATTTTTTTTTTGTCTAGTTTTAACATTTGGCAAATAAATTAAAGTAAAAGAAGACAAAAACAAAATAAGTTGACGTAAAAAAAAACTAAAATAAAACATAATGAAATAACTCTAAATAAATAAATAAAAAAAATAAAAAATAATCGAAATAAGATTAAAATAAAATAAATGAAATAAAATACAGTATATTAAAATAGACTCAAATACCATAACTTAAAATAACAAAGTAAAATAATCATAAAATAAAATTAGAATAAAATAAAATAAATTTCATCAAAACTATATTATTTAGTCACCCGGACGAAATTGGGTGTTGACACTTAGTGCACTATCTAACGATTTGTTCAATTTTATATTGTTCCTATAAGGAGATGAAAAACATTTGGGATTCGTTGATTCTCAAATACACTGCTAAAAATGTTGTCAAACAAAGGTTTATTATTGGGAATTATTATTGTTGGGAAATGATTGAAGACAAGGACATATAGCCGAAAAAGATGACATTATTGTTGTGGTCGTTTTTCAAGTAAATCTGATGACCAATGTGAGCAAGTGGGTGGTAGACTTTGGTGCTACTAGGCCTATCAATGCAAACAAAAGTATCTTTACCTCTTACACTAGTGTAGGGGATGGAGAAGAACACGTCCACCTTGATGATTCCAAGATCACTCCTGTTCTAGAAAAATTTGAAAGACTCTAGCCTTGAGGTGATGTGCTGCATGTGTGCCAGCAATCAAAGTTAATTTAATCTTTGTAACATTACTCGGAAAAGTGGGGCTTAAAGTGTCATTCGAGTCTAACAAAATTATAATGACAAAAAATAATGTTTTTATCGGAAAGGGATATTGTGATCAAGGTCTGTTTGTACTCAACATTTCTGAAAATATTAATGAATCTTCTTATGCTTATATTGTTGATTCATGTGATATATGACATGCTAGATTAGGACATTTTAATTCTTTCTATGTTATGAAAGTACAACGACTAGGATTAATTAATATGCATGATAAATAGAGTAGTAAATGTGATATACGTGTAGAATCTAAAATAACTAAGAAAACATTTATCTTGTAGATCGTCAAACTGAATTGTTAGGGTTAATTTATATTAAGCTAGCTTATTTAAAATAAATCGTGTTTAGAGGCGGTAAAAATTATTTTGTAACTTTTATAGATGATTATGCTAGATATACTAAATTGTATTTAATCAAGCATAAAGATGAAACCTTTCATGTGTTTCTAACCTATAAAGCAGAAGTATAAAATGAACTAAATAAGAAATTAAAAGGATTATATCAGATATAGGTGATGAATATGTATTGGTTAATGACTTTTGTGTTAGAGAAGGTATTATCCATGAAATAACTTCACCATATTCACCTGAGTCTAATGGAGTAGCCAGGAGAAAGAATAAAATTCTTAAGGAAATGATGACTGTTATGCTTATTATAGTTCTAGTGTACTTGATAACCTTTGAGGAGAAGCCTTACTGCATGTTTTTCACAAAATAGAATACCTCATAAGAAAACTGGTAAAACATTCCATGAGTTGTGGAGTGGCTATCAACTTAACCTTAAATATCTAAGAGTGTGAGGGTGTCTAGCTAAGGTAATGTTACTCGATCCTAAGAAAAGGAAAGTAGGCTCTAAAACTTCTGATTGCATGTTCTTATGTTATGCTGAAGATAGTGCTTCCTATAGGTTTTTGGTTCTTAAAATTGATATACTTTAGAGTAATTCTATTATGGAGACGAAAAATGTTTTTAACATGTGTTTCCCTTAAAGGTTAGTGAGACGTCTTAACATGTTGATGATAATAATAATAATGATGTCTTGTGTGAGAATTTAAGAAGAAGTAAAAGATAGAGGAAGGAAACTTTCTTTAGTAATGATTTTTATACTTATCTTGTTGATAATGATCCTAGTAGCTTTATAGAAGCTATTAGTTCTACTAATGCAAAACAGTGGAATAGGGCCATTAGGAATGAAACTGAATCAATTCAGAAAAAAAATATTTGGACCTTAGTAGATTTGCCTAAATGAGCAAAACTCATTGGTTGTAAGTGGATCTTTAAGAAAAAGTATCACCCTGATAGATCTATAGAGAAGTATAAGGCAAGATTAATAGCAAAAAACTTTACTCAAACCAACATAGATTATTTTGACACTTTTGCTCCTATGATTAGGATTTCCTTAATTTGAGTATTGTTTTAGGAGTTATTCATAAGCTAGTGATACACCAAATGGAACTGCATTTTTGAATGGTGATTTGGAGGAGTAAATTTATATGACTCAACCTAAAGGGTGTGTTGTACCTGGTCAAGAGAATAAAGTATGTAAACTTTTAAAATCTTTGTATGGGTTGAAACGAGAACCAAAATAATGACATGAAAAACTTTATAATGTAGTGTTATGTGATGGTTTTTCACCTAATCATGCTAATAAATGCGTATACTCTAAATATGAAAATGGTGATTGTGTCATTATATGCTTGTATGTGGATAACATGTTAATTTTTAGTACATGCAATGAGATTGTCGCTAGAACTAAATTATTTCTAGGATCGAACTTTGAAATGAAACACATGGGTAAAGGCGGTAGGTAGACTGAGTAGGTACACTCAATGTCCAAATCAAGAACATTGAGATGCACTTTCTAAGCTTATGAGATACTTAAGAGGTTCAATGGATTATGTTATTGAATATAGTGGATTTCTCGTTGTACTAGAAGAGTACAATGATGCTAACTGAATCTCTGCTTCTGATGAGACAAAATCCAGTAGTACTTATGTATTTATACTTGGGGTGATGCGATTACATGAAGATCAACCAGATAAACAATTATTGCAAGATCAACAATGGAATTTGAGTTTGTCACTCTTGAGATGATTAGTAGTGAGGCTGAGTGGTTGAAAAACTTCTTAGCAAACATTCCACTACTAATGAAACCAACCACATTATTGTGAACACACTGTGATTGTCAATCGACAATAGCTATAACTAAAAGCAATAATTACAATGGAAAGAACATACATATTCAATTAAGACAAAATTTGGTGAAACAGCTACTAGAGAGTGAAACTATTTGCATTGACTATGTGAAGTCAGAACGAAATCTAGCAGATCCTCTAATAAAACCCTTAGAAATAAATATGATCTTAGAAATATCGAGGGGAATGAGACTTAAGTCATTGGCAAACAAACAAGTGATGGTAACCCAACTTTTGTGATTGGAGATCACATGAATAAGGTTTAAAAACAAATCACTTGTTAATTCTGATAATACTAATTTGATTTTAAATCAATTATGTCAATTCCTATGGTGCATGTAAAAGTGTTAGAGACTGCATTATTTGAGAGGTTAATTTTGTAATTAAAATTTTATATGATGAAAGAATTTTAGTTTAAACAAAAATTTTAATGATTTATATATCTCTTGCAGGTGGTGTATGATTTGCAGCCTTGATAAATCTAATTTTGCTTTATACCTAATTTATTATATTTTAAATTTGTATAGTTATCTACTTAATTGAAATGTTACATTCGGTATATTTAAAAAAATATAATAAAATCTTAATGTAAAAGTATCCAAATTTATGAGAAGTTTAAACTTAATTAAATCTATATTAATTGGTCTCTTATCTTTTATATTTTATTTAGTTTGACGACTTATCTTTTATATTTTATTTAGTTTGAAAATTCATTATTTTAATATATTTAATTTTAAGCTTTATATATTTAAAGTTCAATATCATCATAATTTAAATTAGTTAATATTTAATCAGTTCCCAGTTTCATCTTAGTATCCCTTTTCCACCTCCACATGCAATCACACACAAGCCCTTCCTTATTCCCCCAACTGCACTCACACCCATATCCAACATTTTCTTTAACAAAATGACATAAAAATACCTCCAACAATAAAATGAAAATATTTTTTCAAACAAGCAAAGAAAAAATATTCTTGTGTTTCTCTTTTTGACAAGAGAAAAAAGAATATAGTTATTTTCTCAATGCAAACAGGTCGAGTTAAGCTACATTTTAGGATAGAGTTCCTAAAATGAAATCGTTTGCACATTTGTATAATTTATTACAGTTTTGTATGCATAGGTCTATAATGATAACGAAATAATTGAAATGTCGAATGCATGCTTCAAATTCGATTTATTGTGATAAGATGTGAACTATATACTATTCGGAATCGTCATTTGCTAATTGTGAATGAGAGAAAAAACCAATGTCTCATCATTGAGGCTCGAAATCTCTTCTCTAGAGTTCTATGGTTATGCACACCCCATAGGAACGAGAACAAAAGAGAAAAATAAAGAAGGATCCTCTTACAATTTGACCACATATTGAACATGTTTGACACTACCCATCTTGAAGACAGCAAATCATGAACATGTGATGATGTTGAAACCCAAGTAGATAGTACATGAGTGACATCATCCATTACGTGTTCTTCCTCTAAGGATATACACAAAAATTTTAGGAGGGAGAACCAAATCAAAGTGACAACCTTAACCTCTGCTTCGTGATCTTCAGTTACTATTGTTGGAGAACAGCTGTTTCTTGTCCATTCTACATTTTCTGATGAATCTACATTCATTGAGATGAAGAATAATTACAACAAGCAGTGACATATCTGGGTTGACACATACATAGTTACTGAAAGGTGTTTAAAAAACTGAACCTTAATTGGGTATATGTAGTGACTGCTATCACTACCAAAGACTCTTGTCCAAGCGCCATCAGCAACCTACCTCATCAAACAATGACAATGAGAAAAGTGAGAATATGGGGTTTTACCAAGTGCTACAAAAGGACATGTAATGAAGTTAGAATAGAAACACGAAAGATCTATTTCCCTTCTTGTAATTTACTGTCTTGCCAATTAGGCTCCATCATATGCGCTTCCTTTATACTAGACTTAGTTGAAGTCTTGAACCTATAGTGAACAAAATGAAAAGGTTAAATGATTCAGTGGTTCATTTAATGACTTGAATCCAAGCAACCAAGTTCATTGGCCAATATGTTGACAACATCTTCATCGTTATCTTCAGTAGTTGGAATGTCAAATCGACCATCAAATTTCTCACTGAACATCAGTTCTTCCCAAAACTCTTCATCAAGTACTCTATCCAGTCTCTCTTGTGATTCTAGTGCCTCAGGTTCTACCTCCCGGTCTATCCTACCCTTTCCACATCCCTGCATTTCCATAGCTAACTTTTCCAACTCTGACACTCCAAAATCACAATCGTACTCCCCAAATTCCAAGGCCTCAACTTTAACACTGCTCCTTCCTTCACCCCTACTACTTGATTCTCCAATACCTCTAACTCCTTGCTTAATTTGTCTTCTCTTTTTAGTCAAGGCTTCTTCAAGATCCTTTCTCTTCTCTTTCTTTAGGAGTTGGTGTATGAAGGCAGGATTTTTTATGGCTCTAGCTAAGAAAGCCATCATATGTTTCTGCTTGATTTCAGTCACTTGTAACCTTTGCTCCATCTCCTTAATGCACATTCTGGCTTTCTGCTGCTGCTGTCTTAGATTCATAAGCTCCATCATCAACACTATCTTCTCGTGCTTCAAACGATCAACCTCTTTGTCTAACTCAAAACGTCCAACTTCAACACTGTGACTTTGTGTTAGTTGGGAAGGTGCCCTCCTTCTCCTTATGCTTTTCAACAAATGCTTATGCCCTCTGATGAATCCTTCGTTTGCAAACTGCCATCTATCTGGATCAATTTTCCTAAAACCCTGTAAAATTGATCACCACTATCAATATTTCCAACCATCAAAATTGAACAAAATCATAATAAATTGGAACTGTAATCACAATAACAAACTACTTCAATCATTCCATAACAATGTCCAAAGAGTTATTTTCCATTGAAACACGCGACTTTGATTACGAGGAGAATTAGAGAAATCAAGTGCAACACAATTCACAAAAAACAAACAGAAGGGTGTATACAGTCATCGAAATCGAAAACAAAACCGGTTTCGTGAGTTATTTATAGATTTGTGTACTCAAGCAAAATTTTAAACCACATACGCATTAAAATTTGAAGAAAATAATAATTAAAGAGATACTGTGATTAGATAATACATACGTAAGTGTTTAGTTGCCTGACAAAGCTTGAGAAATTGCTGTGCTTGAAGTATCTGGGAAGGAGACTTGCAGAGAAGGTATGTGGATCCCAGACCACAAAGCTTGTGCCGTCTCTGCTCCAAGAAATTACGTGGTTGGTAACTGGGTCATCAACAACATCAAAAGTTTTTGTGAGGAATGGTGGTGGTCCAGCGTAATGAAGTCCCTCGATTGGCTTTGGTGGATACTCATTACCTAACTGATATGATGATGATGGTGGTAGTGCTGATTCCAACTGATATGATGATGATGGTGGTAGTGCTGATTCCAACTGATATGATGATGATGGTGTTAGTGCTGATTCCAAGCATTCTTCTTTCACTGGATATATATAATTCATTCTTCAATTTTTCTAATTAACTTAATGGGTTTTGTGAATTCGTTATATGGTTCTAAAACAGATTGGTAACTTGGCCAGTAAGCAAATTTGCACTTAACCATAGAGTATAAAACTGATGAGTATTAAAAGGGAAGACGGAGAAGTGTATTGAGACTAACTATAACGAGGAGGAAAAGGGGGAAAAAGTACAAAATATGTTAGAACGAAGAAAGTATACGGCAGAATCAAAAGGGGTTCAAGAGAAAGGTTATGAATGAAAATGAAGAAGAAATGAATGATTAAGTTTTGTTTTGGGGATAACCCTTTCTCCTTTGAGAAAATAAGTCGTTTATGCAGTTAGAAAGAGTTGGTTGTATCCTACCAAGGAATATAACTGAACCGTAAAGTGAAGCGTATAAGAGGGACTATATAGAAGAAAATTTTGGATCATATCCATAAAAAATAATGCATTAGAAAGTTCTAGATATGTTGGAAGGATGCTCCTTTGTCTTGACTCCTTCTTCATGAAGCAATTGGTGGGCCACTGGTTTGGAAAATTCTGGAAGCAAGCATAAGCGATTGTATTTGGATTTTGATTTGGTTGAAACATTCAGCATATGATAACATTATTTACAAATATTTGATTAGAACTACATCTTTTCAAAACCACAAATCACAACAATTATTAGCACCGCAGAAGAAAGAAAGAGTAGATCTGACTTCTCTATATATGCCTGGTCGGTAGGAGGTAAACTAATTCATGATTTTGTGGGACGAAAAACATTACTTAGTATTTCCGTACAATCAATCTCATAAACAACGAACTCAGATCAGATATATATATATATATATATATATATATATATATATATATATATATATATATATATATATATATATATATATATATATATATATATATATATATAGTTAAAATCATCTTTGGATTGATTTTTGATGCATTATATAAGAAATGTGTACATATGGGACATATATAACCAGACTTTTCATATTAATACAAAATACTATTTTGAAGAAAGAAGCATGTGTTAGCGTGACATGGCATCACAGTGCATGTCCATACTCGTATCATGTTATACTAGAAGCATCTTTATTTTAGATTAGGAGTCCCACCACCACTAGAATAGGCAACTTGCATTTCTCTAATCTTGAAACGATAAGAATAATTGGTTAGCTACGTTCAAGTCCTAATAATGACGCATTGTGACAATAATAAACAATTGCATACGCATATACCTATATTGATCAGATCAAAGTTCTATAACATTCTCGAATGTACCAGGTTTTATATTTTCTGTTTCTGTGAAACCATAGTTTTAAATTTGTGCACAGAATTATAGTTGGTTCTCCTTGTCATTTTAACGATAATCCTGTTTGGGCCCTGCTGTCCTGTCCATGACAAAACATTTGCACGTTACTGCAGCTCTTTTACTCATTAATGATGATCATGAAGTGGAGGAGTAAGTGGATGAGAATAAATATTACATATGTGGCGCACGATTCTAAGTAACAATATCGATAAACTTTCCTCGCCGTGCCTTTTCAACGGGAATATATAACTTGTAATTATTCTCATTTTATTTGGTTAAATGTTGTTTCTTTTGTATGTAAAGAAGATGATTGAATGAAAAGTTACGTATAAAGATCATTTAAATATAATTTGAATCCTAAATATGAATGTTAGGCATTGTTTATGGTAATGATATATTCTGATACTGGTAAGTGACCTCTCTCCATATATGTTTGTATTCTGCAGCATACCCTCTTAACAAGATTCAGTATTTGTACTTTTCAGTGTTAGGATTTGTACATTTTTTATGGTCTTAGCAAATGGTCAATAAGCTATACTAATTATTTCTTTTGCCTTAAGACATTTGCATATATGCAACTTTCTTATGTATGAAACTTAAATTAGGAAATTTATTTCTTGTTGATTGGTATTTTTAGTATTAATGGTTTTAAGTGGCAGACCTACTCAATAGGCATATTTCCAAGGATTGTAGGTTAGAGAAAGAAAAAGAGGAGCCAACAAACTTCCTTACCGAGAAAGAAGAAGAAGGATTGCTGCTAGTGACAAACATTCCAAAAACCAAGGTCAAACCGAGTTGTTCTAATAACTCGGTTTTGGTACTTGGACACCGGCGTAAGTAACCATATGTGTGGCGACGAGAGTTTATTCAAAGTACTTTCAAAGTAGGAGTCTGGATTCGTTTCTTTCGGTGATGCTTCGAAAGTAACCGTCAAAGGTCGATGAACGATATGGTATCAACAGAAAAATGGTCGAATCTGAGAGATCATAGATGTATACTACGTACCCGATCTCAAAAGCAACATACTGAGCATGGGACAGATAATGGAGAAGGGGTACTCGGTTCTGATGAAGGACTGAGAACTACAACTAAGGGATAAACTCGGGAGGCTCATCGCCCAAGTAGAAATGAAGATAAATCGCATGTACAAACTTGAGTTGGAAATAGTTCAAGATAAATGCATGCTACTTGATATGGAGGATGAGGCCATGAAGTGGCATTTGCGATTCGGTCATCTTCACTTTGAAGGGTTGACCGAGCTGGTGAAAAAGGAGATGGTGCTCGGATTGCCTAAAATGGAATTCGAAAAGAGGTTTTGTGAAGATTGTGTGATCGAAAAGCAAGTGAGGACTTCTTTCCCACGGAGCTCTGAGTACCGAGCAAAAGAGCAGCTCGAACTAATCCATACCTACTTGTGTGGGCCAATAACTTTAGAATCATTTAGTGGTAGGAGATACTTCGTCTCTTTCATTGATGATTTCTCAAGGAAGACGTGGGTTCACTTTTTAAAGGAGGAGTCAGAAGTGTTTGAAACTTTCAAGAAATTCAAAGTGATGGTAGAGAAAGAAATAAACAAAGTCATCAAAACATTTTTATCTGACAGAGGAGGCGAGTTCACTTCTGTCGATTTCAACAAATACTGTGAGGAACATGGAATCAAGCGTTTCTTGACGACTCCATATTTTCCGCAACAAAATGGTGTAGTAGAACGAAAGAACCGAAGCATTCTCGACATGGTTCGATCTGTGTTGAAAGGGAAGAATATGCCGAAAAAGTTTTGGGCAAAGGCGGTACAATGCGCAGTCTACGTGTAAAATAGATGTCCACATGCAAATTTGGGCGAGAAGACGCCTTAGGAGATTTGGAGTGGTGTGAAGCCGAGTGTCTCTCATCTAAAGGTGTTCGGTAGTTGGCCTATGGGCAAGTACCAAGTCAGCACAGGACAAAATTAGAAGATCGGAGCAAAAAGTACATATTTATCGGGTATGATAAAAATTCTAAAGCATATAAATTGTTTGATCCTGTTAACAAGAAAGTAGTGGTGAGCCGAGATGTTCACGTGGAGGAAACGAAGGAGTGGTGCTGGAGTAACCCGGTCGAAAAAGAAACTAGCTTGGAGATTGTTGTACCTTCAACAACAACAACCACCGAGTCCTCAGATGAAGAAACTGAGCCACAACAGCCTAGGATGAGAAGTCTACAGGAAATATACGACACTACAAATGAAGTTCATGTTGTATGTCATTTGGCCGACTCTGAAGATTTGAGTTTTGAGAAAGTTGTCCAAGAAGAGAAGTGGAGAATAGCCATGGATGAGGAGATCGGAGCGATTGAACGCAACAAAACTTGGGAACTGACTGACCTTCCTGAAGGAGCTCGACCCATTGGAGTAAAATGGGTGTACAAAAAAAAGATGAGTGTTGAGGGAGATGTTGAGCGTTATAATGCTCGACTCGTGGTAAAGGGCTATAGACAAAAGGAGGGGATAAACTATGATGAAGTATTTGCTCTTGTCACGAGAATGGAGAAAATCCGACTCCTGATCTCGTTAGTTGCTCAGAACCAATGGCCAATTCTACAGATGGATGTGAAGTCAGCCTTTCTAAATGGAGTGTTGAAAGAGGAGGTGTATGTCTAGCAACCACTCGAGTACATGAAGAGAGGGGATGAGAAGAAAGTGCTAAGATTGAGAAAAGCCCTTTATGGACTGAAGCAGGCTCCCCGTGCCTGGAATGAGAGAATTGACGAGTATTTCAAGAAAAGCGGGTATGAGCAATGTCCGTACGAACATGCTTTGTACTCAAACAAATCAGAGAAGGATATGATGGTAGTTGCTCTCTATGTCGACGACCTCATATTCACCGGAAGCAACACGGAGCTGATTAAGGAGTTTAAGGAGGTAATGGAAAAAAAGTTCGAGATGACAGACTTAGGCCTGATGAAATATTTTCTTGGCCTGGAAGTGAAGCAATCTGAGGAAGGGATTTTTATATCCCAAGAAAGGTACGCGCTTGAAATTTTAAAGAAGTTTAAAATGGAGGACTGCAACTCGGTTTCTACTCCAATGGAACTCGACACTAAACTCTCGAAGTTTGATGGAGGAAAACGAGCTTATTATGGGAGATATCAAAGTTTAATCGGAAGTCTGAGGTACCTTACAAGCACGAGACCCGACTTAATGTTGAGTGTTGGGATAATAAGTAGATTCATGAAGGATCCAAGCTATAACATTGGAAGGCCTTGAAGAGAATTCTGATATATATTCGAGGAACCCTATCACTTGGTCTTTTCTATTCAAAATCATATGACTATCGACTAGTGGGTTACTCGGATAGCGATTGGTGTGGTGATGTTGATGACCGGAAAAGTACTTCGGGTTACGCATTCCTACTTGGAAATACGGGTTTTACTTGGCTGTCTAAGAAGCAACCCATTGTAACCTTGTCTACCTACGAGGCAGAGTATGTGGCGGCCTCTTGGAGCGTGTGTCATGCAGTCTGGCTTTTAAATCTATTAAGGCATCTGGAAGTGATCCAAGATGAATGGACTGTGATCCGAGTTGGTAACAAGTCGGCGATCGAGTTGGCAAAGAACCCAATTAATCACGGAAGGAGCAACCATATCGACGTCCGTTTTCATTTCATCCGAGAACAAGTAAGAGTAGGAAAGGTCAAGCTGGAGCATGTTAAAATCCGAGCTCAAGCCGCAGACATATTCACCAAGCCGCTACCGACCACACTGCTCGAGAATTGTAAAAAGCTTATTGGAATGAGAAATGGGAAGAATATTTAAGTTTAACGGGGAGATTTGTTATGAAACTTAAATTAGGAAATTTATTTCTTGTTGCTTGGTATTCCTAGTATTAATGGTTTTAGGTGGCAGACCTACTCAATAAGCATTATGATTTATTTCTGGCATTTGAAGAGGCAAACTTTTTGCTGATAAATACTTATAAGAATTCATTTGAAAGAATGCAAAAGAAAGAAAGAGAGTTTTAAAACCTGCCAACTTTTGCCTTCTTGTTGCCAACATCTTAATCATCGTTATGGATGAGTTTTTCGTAACTGAACGTGGTGAAGAGGTCTGTTAGCGCCGGTAGGTGGTAGAAAGAAAATATCAGAGATGAGAGAGAAGCATAATGCAGAGAAAGAGAGAAAACAAGAGTTAATTCTCATCAACCACAGTGGGGTATATATGTATAGTAGATACATAGAATGATAGACTGTCATTTACAACACACCCCTCTAAAACTAAACTCCCTAGAAATTTAACTCCAAGCATTGCCAAGATCATCGTCCATCACATGAGCCTGCCTCCCTTTACTCCTGATATTTCATTTGAACACCATAGTTCTCACCATCGGGCTGTTTCCATTCTTTTGTTTCCTTCGTTTCTTCTTTCGACGTTTGTTTCTCCTTTTACCATGCCTATGCTCATCTTTTCTAGATCTCCTCTTCGTCTTCCGTCTATAATCCCTAGTATCAATCACAGCTAGAAACTGAACAATCGAGGCCTGCAGATTCACCTTAAAGGTTCGGTTTCAGGCAAGAGGTGTTTTGAGCATCAGCCGCTGCCTTTCATCAAACACTTCGGTGTGTCCTTGCTGCATCATCACAGTGTATCCCTTCTCTAGGAACTGTCCAAGACTCAATAAATTGCTTTCATTGTTGGAACATACAGTACATCATCCATATATGCAACTCCGCCATTTTTGTCTGCGATTAGGACTCTGCCAATTCCTTCCGCTGTAACCTTGCTATCATCTACGAATCTCACACTGCTTCTCATATTTGGATCAGGATTCACCAACCACTCTCTCCTTCCTGTCATGTAGTTAGAACACCCCGTGTCCAAGTACCACGATGATTCATCCTCTACATGACTCATCTCACTCGAAAGCAGCACGTGGTATATAGATCTTCCACACCTGTCCAGTGCACGATTCCCACTTTCATCTGATGGTAACGCTCGTTCGGTTTCCTCATTACCACCCGTTCGATTTGAAGGTAACACTTCTTCTTCAGTGACCATTCGGTTTGAAAACAATAACTTTTCTTCAGAAACCGTTCGGTCTGAAGGCAACATCTCTTCTTCAGCAACCGTTCGGTCTAAGGACAACAACTTTTCTTCAGAAAACCGTTCGGTTTGAAGGTAACACTTCTTCTTCAGAAATCGTTCGGTCTAAAGACAACATCTCTTCTTCAGCAACCGTTCGGTCTGAAGACAACAACTTTTCTTCAGAAACCATTCGGTTTAAAGGTAACACTTCTTTTTCAGCAACTTCTCCAATCTAAGGGCCTTCATTTGTTTATATAATGCACCTGAGAGAGAAGTAACTGATATTCTTCTATGCAACACCTTTCACTGTAACCATGAGACCGTCGGGACCATCTACACCAACCTTGTTCTAACCAAAACAAATCACACACTCTCGGACCACAAAACACACAAGCACTCAAGGACCACATAATCACTGGAAAATTGAACAAGAATGGACCAAGTAGATTGGAGAAGATGAACTCGAATGGCTAGGGGTGTAATTATACACCAAGTAGTAAATGAAGCACATAGATATTTGGTGTATAGTAAATCAAATTTAACCACATTCATTTAATGTTTCCCGGAAGGCATTTATGGAATTTGGAGGTGCAGGGAGAAGCTCTCCCCCATTTTTCGGTTTTTTACACACATTGTTTTCACGTTAAAAAGCCCACATCTGTTTTCTTCCACATTCACTCCCATGTTTTCTTTTCATACATATTAGAAAAATACTCTTCATTCATAGAGTGCCACTTAATTTCATTCTCAATGACGATTCCATTTTCCACTCCGTTTTCACATTCATTACACTTCATCACTCAATATCGCCAACCTCCTCTCCACATTCCTCCATCACGGAGTATCATCTTCTTTTGATACACATTTCTTCTTCTCCGAGTCGGTTCCCTCTCACAAAACCACCATCCTTCTCACCTCTGTTATCATTTATGTTCCTCCCTTCGCGGCCATCATTACAAGAATGCATATCAAAGGAGTGAAAGAGAACGAACGAAAGAAGGAGAACTGATGAGTTTCTGGATATAGAAGGAGTCGAAGCGAATGAAGAGGAAAGATTACGCTCGAAATCACACATCGAAGGTTTTTATTCGTTTTATCACCTCATTTTCTAAATGATGCGATTATATTAGTCATTGCATGGTTGAATGATTGATAGATGATAAATCTCATCCCTTCTGGTTCGCTAATCTCTCATATGCTGTGTTTCTATCGCAACTCGGATATACATGTTTTTTTCATTGCTACGTGTTTTTGTTCATCTCTATCATGCCTCTTCACTATTTCATCTTTGTAGAAAATTCAGAAATTGTGAAATAAGCAATATAAATAACCGTGTAGGAGATGTAATGAATCCATAAATCATTAAACAAGTAACATAATAAAAAAGGAATGAAAAAATGTTATCTAAGAGAGTTACCACTACTTTGTAAATTTGATTTCCAAAACCTCAAATGTTCAATTGAAGAGCAAAATGTTATTCTCTTAATTCTACACGGAAAGCAAATCCAGACCAATACATAATAGGCTTAAATGTTTTTTCGTCCTTATGTTAAGAGGTGAATTTCTATCTCTTATGTGTTCGTACTTTTTCTCTTCTCTCTTCTGCTGTCCAGTTTTTTCTATCTCTTGTTCAGCTTTTTCTTTGATAATTTGTTGAACTTGTTCTTTCTTTGCGAACCTTATTCATATATTTTTCATAACATCGGGATCCAATGTCTTCATTTTTAAAATTGGGTACTAAACATAAATTCACCTCTTAACGTGGAGACGAAGTAAACATTTAAGCCTACATAATATAATAAATCTTGAAATAGAAAAAAATTTAAAATAAAAAAGAGATAGGATAGAGTAAAAATGCTGAGTTGAGTGGAAGAAGAAGAAGAGTGACAGCGGTGTTTAGAATCTTGATCAGAGTTACAGTGATTGTCACGCAACAACGAAGGCTATGCCGCCAGTGATTCTGATCAGTATTGACGGTGATGCTATCAGAGGCTGAAGTGAAGCAGAGAAATTAGGGCTCAGGACGAATTGCGATTTGTCTTTGCGATTCGAATAGGAGAAACACGCGTTTAGCTTCACAGGACGACCTCGTTTACTCAGAATCGGAACCCTAACGGTAGCCGCAGCGGCGTCATCAAGTAGCTTCGACTGGAATAACGGCGATGGGCAAGCGGTGGTTTTTGTTCGAACTTGGCGCGTGAGGAAGGAAGAGAGGAGAGCCGTGTTGGAGAAGAGGAAGATACCAGCGTTTCTGGTGACGTCGCCGAGCGCCGCAGCGGCGAGAACGGGTATTGCTGCGGCTGCAGTGGCCTGGGCTATTCTTCACTCGCTAAACTTGCGGCGAAGCGCCAACCTAATTCTAATTCCGGCGAACAGAAAGGGCCATGGTTCTCCGATTGGGCATTTGAAGAATGGTGAGAGAGGTGTTTTGTGCGATTCCTGAACGGGAAAAGAGCAGCGCAAGATGATAGCATCGCTCTCACCGGCGACAAACTTATTAAAATATAACTAATTAAAATATATTATTATATTCAAAAAATTTGATTTAGTTTATAGCTCTTTATTTAATAAAAAATCAATTTAATATCCCCTTAAAATCATTCACTGAACTTTTCATTTTTTAAAAAATAAAATAAATATTTTAATTTTATAAATCATTATATCTTCTAGGCTTAATACCTCTTTTTGTCCCTTTTTACAAGGGAAATGTTCAAGTTTGTCCTACCTTTTTTAAAAAGTTCAATGTAGTCCCAAGTTGTGAAAAAAGTGTCCAATTAAATCCTTTTTGGTCACAGCGTTAAATATTTAACGATCCAGCTGACACTGTGCAACATGGCTGTTTATCTTCGTAAGGTGGCAGTTGACGTGGCCAGTGACAGTGTAAAAAGAAGAGTCAAAAGAAGGAATTTTGGAAAGAAGAAGAGTTCCTGTAAAAAGAAAACCCTAACTCGAAAAACCAATCGTGAGTCAAAAGAAATGTGAGAACAGAAACCCCTGTGCTGCGTAGTCGCTAGAGATGCTACGGTCATGACCACTGCGCCCGCGAACCAGAACAGAGAGGATGAGGATCTCCTGCAACGTCAAGCTCGAACAGAGAAATTAACAACCCCAAATTATTTTTAATTAACGTTAACAGGAAATAAAAATTCTTACTTTATATAACAACCCCTAATTAATTTTAATTAACATTAAAAGGAAACCCTAATTCTTACTTTATTTCTAAATACTATTAAAAGGAAACCTAACCACTGATCTATTCCTTCCTTCAACATTTTGGAAGAACTGGAAATACAAATTGGGTGATGAAATCTGCAGAGCAAATTGTGCGTTTACCCTTTTTGAGAGAGAAAAAGGAAGCCCCACACTACTCTATTCTACATTTAATTGTCAAGTTCTTTGTAATTCTTACACCTAACAACAATATACTTGTTTTTAGTGTTTAGAAAGGAAAAACAGAGCCAGCAAAAAATGGCCGTGGGAGGATTCTCCATTGATGCTTCTTCAACCAGGGGCTTCGACGGCAAAATTACACTCTCCGTTCTCATCACTTGCTCTTCAAACAGTTCCAGTTTTTTAATCACTGCCACTGCCACGTCAACTGCCATGTTAGGAAGGTAAACAGCCACGTTGCACAGATCACTCCACGCTGTCAGCTGGATCGTTAAATATTTAACGTTGTGACTAAAATTGATTTAATTGGACATTTTTTTCACAACTTGTGACCACATTTAACTTTTTAAAAAAGGTAGGACGAACTTGAACATTTCCCTTATAAAGAGGGACAAAAAGAGGTATTAAGCCTATCTTCTATTATAATCTTTAAATATTTTATTATCGCTTATTAATATATATCAATATCTTAAAATATTTCATAATAATATCTAATAATATTTAGTATTTTCTTAATTAAATAATTATTAACCAAGTCTTTTAATTTTATAATGTTTAACCTCGTTTTATCTTTTATTTTTTCAACAACTGTATCTTTCAGGTCTCACAGCGGACCTATGGCTCTCTATCACCTCTATCATCGCTGAATATGATTCCGAAGACTCCGTCGGAGTATCTATCGTTCGCGTTAGGGTTTCTGCTTTGTGCCACAGTTCCTTTCGTTCACGCGGAGTCATCCACGTGCTTGACAGTCTACAAGAACGGCGGTGCTCCGGCGGTGTTTCAGTCTCCAAAATGCCCCCGCTGGAAGCTCTCCGAATACGATTCACCTCCCAAAACCACGGCACGTTGCCAGATTGCGATGCTCCAAGGCCACAGAAAGTCTCAAGAGGATCGCGCTCTCTGCGTCCTCGATGTTCGCATTCCCTTCCCCAGTACGCTGTCCTAACCGCCTTCTCTCTTGTATGGTTTGTGTTCCGGAAGCTTCTCTGAAGCATTAGTTGTAATTTTAATTTATCGCGGAACAGGTGTGGACGGGATCAAGGAGGTTGCGGTTGGCATTGTGGCCGTTTTTGACGGTCATAACGGTGCAGAAGCTAGTGAGATGGCATCGAAACTTTTGTTGGAGTATTTTGTTCTGCATACTTATTTTCTCCTCGATGTTGCCTTTTCTGTTATTTCAAAGACATCAACAGGAGCATGGCTTCACAAGAGAGACCGTGACCATGCAAACTTACTGCATAGATGGAAGGAGATTCTAGGTTCAGAATGGCATGGACTGCATTTTGAAAGGTGCTTTACGTCTTGTTTTTAATTTTTGCTTATATCAACAGTTTTAAGTTACTAAAACTGAGATACCAGTATTCTTGTGGATAATTCTTAATGTCTAATTTAGTCATCGGTTAGTAGTATTCTCTTCTAACATTTGGTTTGGCGCTTTGGAGTTGCTTCCTTGTTTTACACGTCAGTAAGCCATGTGTTCTTAATCGCATTTAAAATTTTACCTACCTTTTTGTTTCTGTCAGTTGTATGCCAATCTCAACTTGGAACAATTTGCCAGGTTTCAGAATACATTTTCTCCAAATTTTGATGATTCTTTTCACTTGGAAATTTTGAAGGAAGCATTATTGAGGGCAGTCCATGACATTGATGCTAAATTTTCTGAGGTAAGTTCGACTATTTGCTCATTTGCAAAGCTTTAGACATCCTTTTTCATATTGTTGTATTGACATCTTGAATTTGAACTACGCAGGAAGCGTCTAGAAATAATTTTCACTCTGGATCAACAGCTACCATTGTTTTGGTAGCGGATGATAAAATTTTGGTTGCCAATATTGGAGACTCTAAGGCCATATTGTGCTCTAAAAATTTTCAGTCTCCCAAAGAGGCTAAAGGTGAGAATTTTTAAGGTATAATGGCATAATTGAAATATCATATATTATTCTGTTGCGCTTGTTGGTTGTTACAGGGCAACAAGGTTACTTTTCATTTTGGTGAAACATGACTAAAAGGTTTTTAATTATAGTTCCTTGTGATTTGTAGATTTATTATTAAAGCTATATAGACAGAAAGAGCATGATGGTTCTGTTTCTATGTGGGATCGTGAAAAGTACAAAATGGCTTCATCCCATGGTCTCACTCATTTTGCAGTAAAGGAATTGACCAGTGATCATCATCCAGATAGAGATGATGAAAGAAATCGGGTGGAAACAGCTGGAGGTCAAGTTCAAAATTGGGGTGGTGTGCCTCGCATAAATGGTCAGCTGGCTATTACACGGGCTATCGGTGACCTACCCTTTAAAAGGTAGGTTCAGTGCAAATTCTTTATATAACCCAAGCTTATTGCTAAAGCATGTGCATATTATAGGTAGCAGCTTTGAATCATGTGCAAATGATTTTGGTTCCATGCTTCATATTATGGAAATAACTTTGCCTATGATTTCGTAGCCAGTCTGAAACTTTGGTGAAGGTGAAGGTGGAGGACCATGTTGCAAGGTCATCCATAGCATACAACTTGTTGAAATTGCATATATAGTTCATATTGTAAATAAAACATTTAAACCAACTGTTTTTTCTATATTAAAAATTAAAATTCAAATTTTAGCAAGTGTGGTGGGTCCATGCTTTTCATAGGCTTCAAGCTATGATGTATGGATACTATCCAATACGGCCGGTTTATTTTAAAAATAATAGGATACAATACGTGATATATGCATATTGAAAAGTGTACAATAATTCTTAAAAAGATGATAAATATATGATTGTTATTATGTGAATCCAAATTAAAATCATATATATTGAAGTTGTTAACATAAAAAATTATAAAATATTGTAATCATAAAAGTACTACTGCTTTATAGATTAAATACTTCATCGATAAGTAACCCAAATTGAAAATCTTCTTGTGTGATTGAAATTTCAGGAAGACTGTTTTTTCATAATATAAAATTATTACTTGGAATAATAATGCGTTTCTTGTAATGAATTGTTTGCAGTTATGGCGTTATATCTGCACCAGAAGTGACTGATTGGCAGCCTCTGACTGCTAATGATAGCTATTTGGTGGTAGCATCGGATGGTGTATTTGAGAAGACAAGCTTGCAGGATGTCTGTGATTTGTTGTGGGAATTGCACAGTTACAGTAACATGAGATCAGAGTGCGCCCATTCTTCCTATTCGTTAGCAGATTTAATTGTTAATAATGCCTTAAAAAAGGGCAGTATGGACAATGTGGCAGCCATTGTCATTCCTCTGGAGTCTATCAAATCCTCTGTAAACTCGCGTAGGGGAAGTTATATTGGAAAGAGGGATGCTGGTTTCCCATTTGGTGTGCAAGAATCTTCCTTCAAAAGCTCAGGTACATATTATGTGGGTTTCGGTTAGTCGTATCGTATGAAGGAAAACTGCATTTTCCACCATTTGTTTGGGAAAAAATTGGAAATGAAAGGAAATAAAACAGATGGGGCCAAAATATTTTTTTTAGATCTACAAATTTACCCATACACTAAATTGCTCACTATTGTAATAAAAAGGCGTTTTATTATGTGAGTTTAACGATATTGTATTGTTTGGTTGAGAGAAGTAGGAAGGAAACTGCATTTTCCACCATTTTTTCAAGGAAAAAATTTGGAAATCGAAGGAAGATAGATGGGTCTGCAAAAATTATCTTTTTGTTAAGTTGACAAATTTAACCACATGGACAACTACTTGCTATTTTGATAAAAGGATGTAAACATAGTTGCATTTTCTTTCCTTTTTTTGCAGTTTTTGAAATCTATGTCTCCTGTCTCATGTTTTGAATATTTCATTGGCCTTGCTCATATTTTACCTTTATCTAGAAAAATCGTCCCACGTTTTTTCTTTTCACATGCCTTCCCCCACCCTCTCTTTTTTACAACATTTCTTGGACGAGTTTTTATATTTCACGAATTACAAGAGAAGTAAGATTTTTTTTTAAACAAGAGGACAAAAGATACAAAAAACATAGCTGGTAATGTAACCTCCAAAATAAAAAATGAAAATAACTGAGTGGGGAAGAGAAATTAATGTAGTGAAGTGTTCCTAATCTCTAAACACATTTTAGTGAAACCCAATTAGAAAGCCACTAGATTTATACACCAAATGGAGGCCAAAACCTAATCCCAAATGAATTGATGTATGTATGAGAGTCCTCTCCAAACAAATGTTGTAGCATGGATTGCACATCACCCACCATCCCTAAACATATTAGCCTCTTTATTGATTAATTTTGTCAAAGGCACATAAACTAATCATAAAGAAGTGGTCTAGGGAGCTAGGACAAACCCAACATCGAGAAAGTGATACACTGAAACCATAGTAGACAATATATGAACATACATGGAACATATTGTAAGCAAACAACGCATAATTCATACACAAAGCCTAATGTTGCTTTTGGCTTGGCACCCTTTTCTTAGTATTCATTCATATACAATCATTAACAATATATAATAAGAATATTCCCATATGGTTGTACACATTTAGTATGTCTATTTTGTCCTTCAGTAAACATTAATCTTAAAACTATGGATATTCAACTGTTCAAAGAAATAGTTACATCTACAAAATTATCATACATGCTGTCTTTATCTCATTTTTTACCAATTAACTGCACACCCTTGTTAGGATATTTATCTTATTTTATCATCATTATAGTGTGTCAAGGGTTACCCTATTTATCATGATTATATTGTGTTTAGGATTACCCTATTTATCATGATTATATTGTGTCTAGGGTTACCCTATTTATGATGTACTTGTGTATCAATTTATTCTTATAAATAGAAGAATTGTGAGAGGATCAATTAAGCCTCTTCAGAATTATTTTACAGTTTCAATCTTAAGTTGGTATCAGAGCGGGTCGATCCCGCTCTGGTTTTTGTCTCGTAATATATATCTGTCCGACGCCACAGTTCTTTGTCGCCTGCCACCGTCTGCTGCTGCCCGCCGCCGGCCACAGTCCACCGCCGGCCACCGTCCACCGCCGGCCACCGTCGTCCATCGCTATCACAGTTTCCTTCGTCTAAACCCTTAGGGTTTTCTTAGTACTATTCGTCTTCTTCAGAAATGACGTCTGACAGTACTCTTTCCTTCTTTGGAAGTCCATCAATTACCTCCGAGAAGCTAAATGGAAAAAATTATCTATCCATGGTCTCTGACGTGAAATGTGGTTTTCCTTTGACCAGGGCATTATGACCAACTTGAGCGAGAGGAAGCCATGTGCCTACTTCTTTAATGCTTTCAAACTTGTCCACTCCTTTTGAAGAAGCCCAACCCAGCATTTAATGCCAACGAATTCAAACTCTCTATGCCCTACGAGCAGCTTGCATCTCTTAAATGGCAGACCATGATGGGTGCCCTTCATGGCTGACGCCCAATCGCTGTCGAAGAACCTTGATGTTTTTGGAAGTTATCCCAGAGTAATCAAAGAAACTAGACAAATTTTTATATGAAACATTGACCACTCCTGCTTGCATCTCAAGATCACCTTCTAACTAGTCATGAGGTCCCCTCTATGAAACATTGACCACTCGCTTCTGCGTGTCCCGGTAACCCAGGTTCTCAATCAATAATCGCATGAAACTAGTGGAACCATCTTCATGGTTGCCACACTAGGAAGAGGAGGACGTTGCACTAGAGGGAGGACAGGAGGTCGAGGACGAGGATTTCGAGGACTAGGAGGTCCGAGGACGAGGAGGACGAGGAGGTCCGGACGTCCTCAATGCACATATTGTAAACGTGGGTCATACTCAAAGAGAATTGCTACTTCTTACATGGTTTTCCTTCCAAAACCGCCAATATTTCGAAGACTGAAACTTCCAATTCTATGTTTTCTGAGGATGAATATCAAGAGTATTTAAGGTTAAAGTCTAACAGCTTTGTCGCAAACCATCCTCAATCCTCGCCATCCATCACCAGCCTTGCGTTTCTCACTCTATGAAGTCCAAAATTCCATGGGTAATGACTCAGTGCTTTCTGAAACATTTTCTCGTAATTATTTTTTTGTTCCATCTATTTCCTTTCGAGAAAAACCTCATTATAACCCTGCAATGGATCAAAACTTCTTCCAAAGGAGTCGTCATGTTTTCTTTGTCTCCCTCCCCAATCTCAACTCATTCCTTTGTGTCCCTAATTGTCTTTTTAATTTAATTTCCTTAAGCCAGTTGACTAAAATGTAAATTGTTCAAAACCTTTGATCATAACTCTTTTTGTTAAACATGAGCGTGTTCGGGGGAGACAATTGGAGAAGGATATGAAAGCTGGCGGATTCTACAATTTTGGATCTCGTCCAAGGTGGTCCTGTGTTGCCTCTCCTATCCTAAAGTGCTACATGATCGACTTGGGCATCCTCATTTGTCCAAATTAAAAAAAGATGTTCCTGAACTTAGTGGTCTCCAAACCTTAGAATAATGCGAGTCATTTCAAATTGAAAACATGTTAGAATCTTCCTTTCCTAAAAGGTCTCAATCAATATGTATTCTAGTTTTTCCATCATCTATTCTGATATATGGGGGGGGGGACTTAGTCCCGTATCTCCTCCTTGGTTTTTAGATATTTTGTTACCTTTATTGAATGAATATTTAAGATGTACTTGGTTTTATCTTAGAAAAATCGTTCGAATTGTTAGCTATCTTTACAATCCCCTTTTGAATCAATCAAATTCAATTTGTGTCAAGTAAATCAAAAATATTAAGAAGTGATAATGCACAAGCAGTATTTCTCATCCTCCTTTTCGTCTCTCATCTTCTTGAGTTCCATGGTAATCTTACACAATTCAGTCTAACTTGTCCTCATACCCCACAACAAAATGGTATAAGCAGAACGAAAAAATAGACACTACTTGGTTGAAACGACTCGTGCCCTTTTGCTTGGTGTCCATATTCCTGTCGCATCACTAGGGGATGCCATCTTAACTGCATGTTTTCTTATTAATAGGATCCCTCCTCCTCTCTTGAAATAAGTCCCTTTCTCCATTTTGTTTCTAATGATCCTCTCTTTCATACATCTCCCCGATTGTTGGCTGTGTTATGTTTTGTTCATAACATCTCTCCCAATCTAGACAACTCTCCGTCTCCGCTCGCGCTCTCAAATTTTCTCTTCTTGGGCTATTCGCGACTTCAAAAAGATATCGTGTTACTCCTCCTAAAACCTAGAAGTATTACATGTTTGCCAATGTCACTTCTTTGAACAGACTCCTTACTTCTCTCCATTGTTTCAGGATGTTTCTATCCTCCAGCATGTTTTCTTCCTATTCAATGGCTGAGTCAAATAGCTCCACTGTCTCTGTCATTTCCAAGTCCTGAATCACAATCTTTTGCCCTTTTTCTCACATACTGGATCATCCATCACGGGCCCTATGGATAGTCCCACCTCCCCAAGACAATGGTGAATCTCCTACTTCAGATTCTTCTCCCTCGTCACCTCCTCCCACGCCTACTGGTGCAAATGGTTCAGCATGGCTTATTGCCCTCATGAAAGGTACTCGTTCCACTCGAAACACTCATCCCATTTATAATTTTCTAAGCTATATCATCGATTTTCGCCCTCCTATTTTTCTCTTTTTCCTCAGTGTTACCCAAGAATTGAAAGAAGCACTTTATCATCCTGGATGGCGCAAGTTATGATTGCAGAAATGCAGGCTCTTGACCACAATAATACTTGGGGCTGGTGCCCCTTCCCCCAAGAAAAAAGGCTGTTGGTTGTCGATGGGTTGTAAATGCAGTTAAAGTTGGCCCTTGATGGTGAAATTGAATCGGCTCAAAGCTCGACTTGGTTCAAAAGGTTACACTCAGGTTTGGTCTTGAGTATTGTGACATTTTCTATTCCTTTCGCCAAGAATGACTACTAGTCGTTCTTTTCTTTTGCAATGGCAGCCAATTCGTCCTGTCCACTCATCAATTGGATATCATAATTGCACTTCCTACATGGTATCTTGAGGAAGAAGTTTATCTGGGAGCAACCTCCTGGTTTGTTGCTCAGGGGGAGTCGGTATGGTATGCAAATTCATCGATCTCTATATGGCCTTAAGCAATCCCACGTGCTTGGTTTGGAAGTTAAGCTCCTTGTTCAAAATTGGGCTAAAACGCAGTGAAGCAGACCATTCGTTTTGATTGTCATTCTTCTCTCGGAAATGTGTTTACTTTAATAGTATATGTTTGATGAATATGTCAAATTCAAGATGAATGGCTGTGAATATCTCAACTAAAAGAGTCTTGTGTAGACTTTTCAAACAAGGAATCCTTTGAAGTCTCATACTCTTCTTAGGCATTGAAGTACCGCCATCAAAAGATGGAGTTGTATCTCCCAACGGAAGTATGCTCTTGATATATTAGCAAGAAACAGCATGATTGATTGTAGACGCGGTAAAGTCCCATGGAACAAAACCTAGAAATTAAAGACAGAAGAAGTGAATTATTCTCGATCCAGAGAGGTATAGGAGGGCTGGTTGGAAACTGATTTATCTCACTCTTAACAAGGCCAGATCTATCCTTTGATTTGGAGTGGTTAGTCAGTTCATGAGGCTCCATGTGTTGACCATGGAAGGCTCTCATTTGCATTCTAAGGTATGTAACGAAGGCTTCTTGGCAAAGGATTGTTATATGAGCATACCGGAGCATTCAGGTCGCTGGTATGTGGATGCAGATTTGGGCAGGTTTCACTATTGATAGACGTTCCTAACTACAAAGTAAGAAACAAATTAGTAGATCATCAACCGCGAAAGCCGAGTATGGGCAATGACATCACTAACGTAACTTATATGGGTGAAACATTCCTTCAAGAGTTAAGTTTTGTGACAATCCATACATGAAAGATGTATTGGGCGACAATCAGCTGCTCTTCCACATTGCATCAAATCCAGTTTTTCACGAAGGACTAAACATATAGAAATTGATTGTCATTTGTTTCGTGAAAATTGTTGACCAAAGAAATATGATCTAAGAAGTTTATTGGGTCAAACGATCAACTCGCAGATGTATGACCAATCATTAAGGGGTCCCCGGATTGAGTTTATTTGTTCAAGCTTGGACATACATTTTGTATGCTCCAGCTTTTGGGGGTGTTTTAGGATATTGTTTATCCTATTTTATCATCATTATAGCGTGTCAAGGTTTACCCTATTAAATACCCTATTTATCATGATTATATTGTGTCTAGGGTTACCCTATTTATCATGTACTTGTGTATCAATTTATTCTTATAAATAGAAGATTGGGAGAGAGATCAATTAAGCCCTCTAGAATTATTTTACAGTTTCAATCTTAAGTAGTTACATCTACAAAATTATCATACATGCTGTCTTTATCTCATTTTTTACCAATTAACTGCACACCCTATTTTATTTATCTTCAGCAATGAGATCTGTTCAAGTTCAATATGCCATGTTAACAAAGATTCAATCTCAATCCACATGTAACTCAAAATGCAGACACAAAGGCACGCCACCACCTTTGTTTCTGCTAGTAATAGTATCAATAAAGCCTTGTTCCATTTAGTGAAGTTGACTGCATTGATAAAATATTATCATTGGGCTTGATTAAAGACTGAATATTAGAGATTGGAGATATTATTCGCCATGAGCTAAAGTACAACAATAAAACTTCTCCAAGTTTGTTAAGTTTTGGCAACCACAAATAATCCCTATTGTCTTTTTCTGTTTTAACCAGTTGAATCTTGAATGTTACATTTGCCCCGTCATTTTGTAATATGATATCCAATATTTATAACTTCAGAACATGTGGCATGACATCTTCTCGTGCTTTTACATCCGTGTCATCTTCTGCTGTCTCACTAAAATTGCAAGGCACATACTCTTATTCCTACTAATCTTTTGTTTCCAAAGTATGTATATAAATAATGTTTTTGAATTTAGACAGAGCTTTGCATTTCCAACTCAATTTCTTTATAAAAAAAGCATCCCTATGCAATGAATGGATGATGGGTATTTTTTTACTAGATGGGTGCACATTTAATTACATATTACATAAATGGGTAGATTCCAAAATTATTACACGCTTTAGGTAAGTTATGCATAAAAGGAACGACTTTAGGTGAAGAAGTTGTGCTCCATGAACACAGTTTCCTCTGTGTTCCAGAAACTGAACTGAGTCGTGTCAATGGAGAACAACTTCCATTTTTTTTTTGTAGTTAGAACTAGTGCACAGGGAAGACGACTTTAGTTAAACTATGTTGATATAGAAACCGTCTTGTCTAATAATGACTTTTAATTGGGTGTATAAAATTAGAACTTGTGCCCTCACAACACGACTTTAGTGAAATATTGAGAAGAAAAAATCATGTGTTGGGAGCACGACTTTCAATTTGATGTGCTCAATCAGAAATCACGCTCTCTTTCTCCTTCTTCTTGTGTCTGCATTCTCCACACCAGCTAAGAGATCTCTTTGATATTTCTTCAACTCTTTGATATTGCTTTTCAAATTTCAATGAAGGGAAAACCAAGAGATGAATTGTTGGCCAAGGCGGCATTCAATGCTCATTGGAAAGGAGAGGGGAGTTGCAGAGAGGGTAGTTGAACTTGTAGTGGTGGAGCCAGCCACCAAAGCAGTAACAGTTGAAGATGTGGTGGAAGGGGAGCATGCGTAGCTAGTCATTGTCTTGGAAGGCGGCTTGGCACACTATGCATGGGTGGTCGTGGGCAACTCCTTCATAGAAGAAATATTGGTTGTTGAGTGAGCTGATCAGAGAGCATGAGACCTAGGGATTGCAACACTGTGAAGAGCATCAAGCGGTATCGTGCATCAAATTGAAAGTCGTGGTCCCATAACAAAACTTCTAAATATTTCTACCAAGGTCGTGTTGTGAGGGTACGAGTTCTAATTTTATACACCCAATTGAAAGTCCTTATGGGACAAAACGATTTCTATATAAACATAGTTTAATTGAAGTTATGTTTCTTGTGCACGACTTCTAACAACCAAAAAGAAAAATGGAAGTCGTTCTCCATTAACAAAACTTCAATTCAATTTCTGGAGCATAGAGGAAATTGGGTGCACGGTGCATGGTTTACATAAAGTATAATCAACAACTTGCTCAAATATACAATATTACCAATGAAATGGTCCCTATTGTATTGAATGGCATTGATGAATGTAATGAGTGGTTAGTGGGAGAAGTTGATGATGATAACGATAATGAAGAGGAGGGAAATGAGTTGGTTTTTGATGATGATCCCCCTCTTAATAGGGCAATTGTTTATGAAGCTTCAGATATTGGAGGACCAAGAGTTTATGCAAGGAGACATGTGACCAATAAAAGAAAGCAACCATCAAGTAGTGGTATTGTTATTGGATCTTCTCATGCTTATAAGAAATGTTCTGGTACAACGCCAACTCCAACACCAACAGGGAACGGTAAAGAGAAGGCTCAAATTGGGGTTCAAAATGAATTGCATGATAGCTTTGATTTCGAGTTTGAAAGATTATTGTAGTTTGACTAGAGTCTCTTAGAAGGGGAAGATGTGGGATATGCCCCATTGTATGATAGTATTGAAGACAATTATGTTGGGATTGAAGATGAATTTGATAATTTGAACTTTAAATTTGTGGTGTTCTGATATGATGTTATTATTATTTGAATTTTTAGACATAATATCGTTACTTTTGCATTAGAATTATATGTGGTGGTATTATATTTCTTCTGACCGCAATATTTTCGCCATAACCCATTGTGGTTTATATTATAACTTTATACATGATTTTTGGGTTGCCGATGTTGGTGGAAGTCCCACATCGACTAGAGATTTTGTCAATTTGTAATATATAAGTGGATGCAAACCTCACCTTACAAGCTGGTTTTGTGGGGTTAAGTTAGGCTTTAAGTCCACTTCTTAACATGGTATCAGAGATATGGTTGGAGCCTATCCTAAAGATATTTATTGTTTGTTGGCACATTGTTCTACCTGCTAGGGCCACCCATTAATGTCTAGTCTCACGCGCGAGATGTATATACCTCGGCGTGAGGGGAGTGTGTTGGAAGTCCCACATCGACTAGAGATAAGGTCAACTTGTAATATATAAGTGGGTGCAAACCTCACCTTACAAGCCAATTTTGTGGGGTTGAGTTAGGCTTTAAGTCCACTTTTTAACAAATGTTTTCCGTTATCCCTAAGAAACAAGCAGTTATTGCTTTATCTAGTGCAGAAGTCGTATATATATCTATGGCTTTGCGTATGCATGAACTTTTGTGGATTAAACTATTCCCTTCAAGAGTTGAAATTTTGTGAAAATTATTAAATGAAGTTGTATTGTGACAAGTAGACAACTCTTCATATAGCCTCTAATCCATAGTCTCATGAGAAAACTAAACATATAGAGGTTGATTGTCATTTTGTTAGAGAGAAGTTGCTATCTAAGGATCTTATTTCAGAGTTTGCCAGTTCTAATGCACAATTCACAAACATTCTAACTAAATATCTAAGAGGACCTAGGATTTAGTTTATATGGTTGAGCTTGGTGCATGTTATTTACATGCTATAGCTTTAGGGGAGTGTAAAGTGAAATGTTATTTAGTATTATTTCTTTTGTAGGTACCTAGCTTTTGGGTTAGGGTTAAGACAAGTGCCTTACTTTTGTTAAGTAACCAATATTAATGCAAGTACATCAGTGGAGGTTGAATGCATTGTATTTTTCTTATCTTAGTTATTCAAGTAAGACCAAATCAAAGTGAAGGAGGCCTAAAAGGATTCCAGTTTAAAAAATTTTGTGATTTAAATTACAATACTTGGACTTTTTAATAACTGTATATAAGAATTATGTGGAGAATAAAAACAATAAAGGTAAGGAAAGACAATTGAAGTGACACTTTTTGGGAGAACTTATATGATTTTAGCTATATATTTTTATGTGGTTTAAAATTCGTAAGGTAATTCTTTTGTAGTTGCTAATCACAAATCTTGTTTATTTTATCAAAAGTTTAAATGCTAACCACTAAAATTGAATTCTCTTGTTTGGATTTGTATAGTTGCCCTGCTCTGATATTTTGGTTATCTTTAGTTTGTGTTTAAATGTCTGAAGAAAGTCTAAGTGGCATGCAATAACATATGAAGATACATACATAAAGCATGTATTGGGTATATTTGCTTGCGCTAAATTGTAGGTAAAGTTTTACAAAGTATCGTTTCCTTTGCATTTGTATGTAGCAAATGCTGGTGTCATTAATAATTTCAATGAATAAATTTAAAATTTGCTCTTTCATGTATGTTCTGCTCTGATAACTTAAACAATTGATGAATAAAATTTGGTTATTCCTGTATGTAGCTTCCGCTAATTTATTATTTTGGAACTTCCTCAGGTAATGGCATCTTGTCTAATCTTATGCACTTGGAGCACCCTCATCTGGTAGATACGAAGTTGAAGCGAATATTGGTATGGCCAAAAGCCATGGAAATTTATTATTGTCAATTTCTTCCATATTTTGTTTGGTTTTCTCATAAATTGTATCCTAATGGAATTAATTGAGTATTCTGAAAACACTGATAGAATTTTCAATTTATAAGTTAATTGTGATGTGTGTCAAAGTTTGATGATTCTTGTGCTGTTTCTTAAAATGTTACTGAGTCCATTGTGGAGCTATGATTTTGTGATATTGTTGTTGGATGGGGAACTTTGTGTTAAACATGGGAATGTTTATATGCTTGGAATTGAATGAAGAGGACCAACTTGCTCTACTGGATTTCTTGGAATTCCAGCCATTATTTGTTCTGAGGGACTTGAATCGTCAATCCTCATGCCTTATCACCAATCTGATCACCGAATGCTGTATTGCGAAAGATTGGAAAACTTGCAACTAAAAGGGAGGTGTAGTACTTTTATGGTTAATTGATAGTATTTTACTTGGGCTGAGGAGATATAAGCTCTGTACCCTTCTGAGACTGGAGTTTTTATTGACATAAGTTGATTTATCAATTTCTCACTCCTTTTTTTTTTTTGGGGTGAGATATGCTATAATATCTCCCACACGGTCACACAAGGGTGATACTAGTTAAAGAATACATTACTATTTTTTTTTCTGCTTTTAAAGTTTGATCCTTAGTATTGAAATGCACGTTGAGAGTAAGTTTCCCTCCTACTAGGTATACTGATTTATTATCTTAATAAAGTTTTAGAATTTGGGCTTAAGGCCTAATTTAATCTTGCACAATTGACATGTAATGTAGGCATTCTATTTAACCCATATCTTTCTAGTAACATTTCTAGAATTTGGGTTTAACGTCTATTTCAACCTCATAAAACTAACTTACTTTACATCATATATATATATATATATATATTTTTTTTTCTAGAGAGCTTAAGGGATCCCTCTCATTGTCATTCTATATATAATAAATTTCAAATGCAAAAGTACATGGAAGATTAAGGGTCTGCCCTAAACACTTAGGTGTAGACCTAGGTAATACTACTATACTAGACTAGTACACTACCCTTAAGTAGGCTTAATGATTATACATAAGGCAATAATTCTAACAATATATATATATATATATATATAAATAGTATATATTTGATGTGGGACTATATAGGCTGCCCAGGGTAGGTGACCACAAATTTTTCAAAACTCCCTTTCATGCATGGGACTACTATTCTAGAGCATAATGACTATGATAGTGGCCTTACAATGAATCTAGGATAGGTTTTAAAGTTATTTCAAAATTGGGGTTTAGATCCAATCTAAATCCATCAAAACTAGTTTGTAAGTGATTGCTATCCAAGCTTTCTTAGCTATATCTTTGTTGGATGCGTATCATCCTTAAGACTAATGAGGTTGGTATTAAAGATGGGCCATGCTTGACCATAGTTAAGGCAGCTTTCCAACATAAATCATTATTTCATTTTAAAACAAAAATATCATATCAAAACCAATCCATATAATTGAATACCTCTGGACTTTTATGACAGGTTGAAGTGAAAGATGGTGATTTTGGCTGCTTTTATTTAGCTGAAAATCTTGATGAAATAGAGGACTCCAAGCAGATTGCCAAAAAAGTTGACTGGGATGACTATTTGTATGAACTACCTCCACCTCCACCCGATTCCCTTTCTCAGCATCCCAGTAAGCAAAGATGTTATTATGTTGCATTTGCTTATAGTTAAATTTTGGTTTATCGGTTGACAATCAAATGTGTTGGTTTGTCCGTTTTCAGCTTCAGGGGGTCTTGTCGATTTATACAATAACCAAAACTTTTGCTTTGACTATGGTCCAACTATTAATGAACCTGAAGACCGATGCATAAATCCTGAAGGCTTTGCTAGTTTCATTGGTCTTCTTGAATCAATTCCTTTGCATGATACTGATTCTAGTAATGGGTCTTCTGATTATTCAATGCCTGATTTGAGGTAATTTTATCTACTTTGAATTCCTATATGTTCATTAATCGAGAGGACAACATATTTCTTAGTCTGGTGAAAAGTGCAATTTTAAATTCATAAAATTTTAGAATTGCCCTTGCTTTAGTCGTACATGGATGGTCATTGTTGGAAATTATAGCATTTAATGTTTATTATTGTTGAAGATCCCACATCAACTAGAGGTGGGTTGCAAATCTCACCAGGTTTGCACTCCACCCTTAGTTGATGTGAAATGTCCAACAATCTCATGCCAAGGAATGGATATCTTGAACATAAGATTTGATATTTGTGGGTGTTATAACAAGAGCCCAACAGGGGGTAGGACATGAACCTTAATGAATTTGACTAGGGTAGGCTTTAAATGATTTTGATATCATCTACAAATATCTAATTTTAAGTTATAGATGTTCATTCTTAGGTGCGAGTGTAATGACCCTACTTTGGATTTACATTACTACTAATCACTATACATATACAAAATATCTACATCAAAGAATCTTTCTCAACCCCTCACTTCTACTCCATCCTGAAACATCTTCTGCTTCCGTGTTATGTGTAACACGATCATTGTAGGTGGATATCACATTCTCAAACACAAGGTAAACTAGCATATTTAAAAGATTAGAGTTCAATTTATAACAAACATTTTAGAGTACATCTCAGCAAAACACAACATCATCATGTGGATCACGTATATCTCTACTAACACTATACATCTACTTTCGGAAAACTCATGCATTGAATTGGACTCAAAGATTTGGTATCTGTCATGGTAAATTTTGACAAAACCACGTGACACTCTACTCGGTTTCACAGCTATGGAACTAAGTCCTCTTCATATGATAGGGTTTATTCTAAATAACTTGCTTGACTCACCTAGCGACTACATGTTAGAGCTGAAATGGCACATTTTCACTGAATGAAGTTAGTCCTCGCTCAATGATCCAACGATCCTGAGCTCTTTGGATTTTTCTTGAACATTTTTGCTTAGCTATTTTCTGCTCACCCAACGACCAAAACCCCTAGAGCCAATTTTACTAGGCTCGCCCAATGAGTTTTGTCTTGTCTAGTGGGTGAAATGTCTTGAGCTCTTTGGAATCTCAGTTTTTTCATTTTTTCCTAGCAGTTTGTTGGCTCCTAGTGAGTCTGCACAAAATTACAAATCTAATAGATATATTTGTTGTCTCAATTGGTTCCTGCATGTGTTTTTAACTCTTTTACAAGCCATAAAAGGCACAAATCAGCTCAAACATAGATCATCACGAGCCAATTAGTCTAAACTAATATACATATCCTAAAATTGTTCCTTAGTAACACATTCATTCAACTCACACCGTAAACAAATATTCAACAAAACAACCAAGAATACTACTTGCTCTCCCTCATCACAAATATACTACACATCAAATAATCAGTCATGACAGTGCAAAACAATTAAATTAAATAGCTAGCTTCCTTTACCTGAACTTATACTTCTCACTAACAAAGCTCTAAGGACTCTAAACCTCACATGATGCTTTACTTGAATATAGAAAACTGATATCTAAACACATCCTAACAATTGTAGCCAAACAAAGATTATTTTGAGTCCCCTAGAATCACATGTAAAGCCTCCTAGTGCTAGCATGCAAAACTACTAAAAATTGACTCAAGAAAAGGAGTACAAATGAACTTATTCAAAATGAAATTTTGATTTTCTATAATTGTAGTTCTCTATGTCAAAATTCATATGGTGCAGTCTGATCTTCAAATAGACATGTAGATTTGTTAGAAAGTTAGAGAAAGTGTAGAAGAAAAAAAAAAGGAGCACTTTTTGAGTGACAATAACTGTTGTAATTTGAGATAATATTTTTAGAATCTTCCTAATTAGAGGAAATAGATATATAATCTTTTATTTTATTTTACTTTCCTAGTTTTCCTATTTCCCTTTTTAGGAGAATTAGATAAATTATCACTGTTGAAGTATAATGTCATTATTTTATTATTAATACTTATGTTAGGGTTTTGTTAGGGGCTTCTTGCCTTTTTATCTTTCAGAACTACTGATTCTATAAAAACAGCAGTAAAGTGTATCACTTTTGCTTAATCAAAATATAAGATTCATCTTCTCTGAACTTCAAGTTGGTATCAAGAGCCAGACTCTTTGTCTATAGTCGGCGGCATCGTCTCACTGTCATTTCTGCCTTTCGCTCCGCTGCCCGCCGTCGTCGCTGCCGCCTCCGTCGCCGCCCAAAGTCGCTTTCTCCGGCGAAGTCAAGGGTTAGGTGCGCCTTGAGAAGCGCAACCCAACCCTAGTGGTCCCGTCCTTCGAAGCCTCCACACCAACCGCCACGCGCCGCTTCTTTCCGACCAGTCTCGACCGCGTGTTCTGCATGCGCCGTCTTCCCGGTGTCAGAGTTTCACCGCGTCACTGCAGATCGTCTCGCCGGGGCTTCTTGAGTGTGTTTTGGTTCCTGGTTCTCCGTTTAGTTGGCTTGGGCTCATACCTAGAGTCCCATCTCTTCTCTAAGTTTAAAATGGCTTCTTCTACTGGAAGTAATTCCTCTTTAGCTGCTACCCCTATCATTACATCTGCAAAATTGAATTGGAAAAATTATTTGTCATGGTCCTCAGCCGTGGAATTGTGGTTTCTTGGTCAAGGACACCATAATCACCTTGAACAATATATTTCTATGGTCCCAGACGAAGAAAAATCTCAGTGGCAGAAATTAGACTTTCAGTTATGTGATGTCTTGTGGCAATCAGTTGAGCAAGAGGTTTTAGATATCTTGAGACCCTATAAGACATGCTCCTCTTTTTGGAAAAGGGCCCAAGATAATTTTGCTAATGATGTTCAACGTCTTTTTGATGCAACCCAAAGAGCAACTTCTCTCAAACAAGTCAACCATAATATGGTTTCCCATGTAGCAAAAGCTCGGGTTGCGGTAGAAGAGTTAAAGAACTTCTTTGTAGCTGATTCATTAGAAAATCTCAACAAAAAGCTTGAAAAGTTTTAAATGGTCCTAATTTTGAAAAGTTTACACACTGATTTTGATCATGTACGTGATCAAGTTTTAGCTGGTGATCAAATCCCTTCGATGGATGGCTTAGTTACTCGACTCCTTCGGGTACCTACATTGGTAAAGGAAGAGAATTTAAATGATGCTATTGAAACATCAGTAATGGTGACACCGCGAGGAAGAGGAGGAGGTAGGAGCAATCAAGGAGGACGTGGTGGTCGTAGTGGACGTCCTCAATGCTCATATTGTAAGAGAATGGGTCATACCCAAGATAAATGTTATTCCTTGCGTGGCTTTCCAGACAAAGCTACTTATGTGTCTAAATCTGAGTATTCAGAATCTAGAATTTCTGATGAAGAGTACCAAGAGTTTTTGAGGTACAAGTCTGAAAAATCTTCTAATCTTGGCCAATCCTCCTCAATGCCAAATGTGTCAACTGCTTGCATCTCTCAATCTGTGGAAGGTCATAATCCATGGATTCGTGACTCAGGTGCCTCAGAGCATATCTCTGGTAACATCCCTTCATTTTCTTCCATGTCCTCTTAGAAAACTCCTCATTTCATTACTGTTGCCAATGGATCCAAAGTTTCATCTCAGGGGATTGGCAAAGTTTCCCTATCTCCTTCACTAAAATTGAATTCTGTTTTGTATATTCCTCATTGTCCTTACAATTTAATCTCTTTAAGTCGATTGACTCATTCTTTAAATTGTTCTGTAACCTTTTCTGCTAATTCCTTTGTTATACAGGAACATGGTACGGGTCGTCTGATTGGAGAAGGACATGAGTCACGAGGACTTTATTTCTTAAAACCTAACTCCTCAGTTTCCTATTTTGCAACTTCATCCCCAAAACTTTTGCATGATCAGTTGGGTCACCCAAGCTTATCCAAGTTGAAGATGATGGTTCCAAGTCTCAAACACATTCAAGTCTTAGATTGTGAGTCTTGCCACTTAGGAAAACATGTTAGATCTTCCTATCCTAAGAAGTCTGAGACGCGATGTAATTTTGCTTTTTCAATTATTTACTCTGATATTTGGGGACCGAGTCTTGTTACTTCTTTGGGTTTTAATTATTTTGTAACCTTCATTGATGAATTTTCTCGATGTACTTGGGTTTGTTTAATGAATGAGAGATCTGAACTTTTGGCAATATTTGTGTCTTTTTTTTAATGAAATTAAGAACCAATTTGGGAAGACAATTAAAATCCTCAGAAGTGATAATGCTAAGGAATACTTTTCTGCAACATTTTCTTCATTCTTATCTTCCCGAGGAATTTTACACCAGTCAACATGTCCCCACACTCCACAACAAAATGGCATTGCAGAGAGAAAGAATAGGCATCTCATTGAAACTGCACGCTCCTTGATGTTTTCATCATTGGGGTGATGCAGTTCTTACTGCGTGTTTTCTAATCAATATTTTCTAATCAATAGGATGCCTTCTTCCTCTCTTGAAAATAAAGTCCCTCACTCTATCATTTTTCCAAATGACCCTCTTTACCATGTCTCTCCTCGTATATTTGGGTGTACTTGTTTTGTTCATAATGTTTCTCCAAGTCTTGATAAACTCTCTACAAAAGCTATTAAGTGTGTCTTTTTGGGATACTCTCGCCTTTAGAAAGGGTATAAATGTTATTCTCCCTCAACCAAGAGGTATTATATGTCTGCTGATGTCACATTCTTTGAAGATACACCTTTTTTCTTGTCCTCCATGGAGGACCGCTCATTTGTTCAACAAATGTTTCCTCTACCATCATGTGATCCCTTGGTTCAACAAATGTTCAACAAATGTTTCCTCTATCATCGTTTGTCTCCTCCATATTTCTCCTTTGTTTCTTTCTTATCTTCCATTAAGGTTCCTAATAATGTTCATGAGGCACTTGGTCATCCTGGATAGCGACAAGCCATGATTGATGAAATGCAGGCACTTGAACACAATGGCACTTGGGACCTTGTTCCTCTTCCTCTTGGTAAGAAGCCTGTTGGTTGTAGATGGGTCTATGCTATTAAGGTTGGTCCTACTGGTGCAATTGATCGTCTCAAAGCTCGTCTGGTAGCTAAGGGATATACTCAAGTCTATGGCCTCGACTATTGTGATACCTTTTCTCCTGTGGGTAAAACCAGTACTGTTTGTATTTTGCTTGCTATGGCTGCCATTCGTCATTGGCCCCTTTACCAGTTGGACATTAAAAATGCCTTTCTTTATGGTGATTTAGAAGAAGAGATATACATGGAGCAACCTCTTGGGTTTGTTGCTCAGGGGGAGTCTGGGTTAGTTTGTAAATTACATCGTTCCCTTTATGGTTTGAAGCAATCACCTCGAGCTTGGTTTGGTAAATTTAATCGGGTTGTGCAGAATTTTGGATTGAAACGATGTGAGGCGGATCATTCAGTATTTTATAGTCACTCTTCTCCTGATAAATGTGTTTATCTTATGGTCTATATTGATAATATTGTCATTACAGGAAATGACGTCACTGGAATTGCTCAATTAAAGATTCATTTGGTCAACCACTTTCAAACCAAAGATCTGGGTCAGCTAAAATATTTCCTTGGTATTGAAGTGGCACAATCAAAGGAAGGTGTCATCATTTCAGAAAGAAAATATGCTCTTGATATTTTGGAGGAAACAGGCCTGACAAATTGCAAGCCCATTGATAGTCCTATGGACTCAAATCAAAAGTTAATGAAAGACCAAGGTGAACTTTTCTCAGACCCAGAGAGATATAGAAGGCTTGTTGGAAAACTCATCTATCTTACCATAACAAGACCTGATCTTTCTTATCCAGTGGGAGTTGTGAGTCAATTTATGCAAAATCCACATTTGATCATTGGAATGCAGTGATTCGCATTCTCAGATATGTAAAAAGGAACCCAGGACACAGATTGTTGTATGAGGACAAGGGAAGCACTCGTGTTGAGGGATATTGTGATGCAGATTGGGTTGGTTGTCCAATTGACAGAAGATCTACCTCAGGATATTGTGTTTTACTTGGAGGGAACCTTGTATCTTGGAAAAGTAAGAAACAAAGTGTTGTTGCTCGATCTAGTGCTGAAGCTGAGTATCGATCTATGGCTCTAACTACATGTGAACTTGTGTGGATTAGACAACTCCTTCAAGAGTTGAAATTTTGTGAAAATGAACAGATGAAGTTGTACTGTGACAATCAAGCCGCACTTCACATTGCCTCTAATCCAGTGTTTCATGAAAGAACAAAACACATAGAGATTGATTGTCATTTTATCAGAGAGAAGTTATTGTCAAAGGATCTTGTTACTGAGTTTGTCAACTCTAATGAACAACTCGCAGACATTTTGACCAAATCTCTAAGGGGGCCTAGAATTCAATTTATATGTTCCAAGCTTGGTGCATATGATCTATATGCTCCAGCTTGAGGGGGAGTGTTGAAGTATAATGTCATTATTTTATTATTAATACTTATGTTAGGGTTTTGTTAGGGGCTTCCCGCCTTTTTATCTTTCAGAACTACTGCTTCTATAAAAACAACAGTAAAGTGTATCACTTTTGCTTAATCAAAATATAAGATTCATCTTCTCTGAACTTCAAGTATTACAAATAGAGAGTATCATAATGTATTTTTTATGATTTGAGAATAATAAATCAGTCTTATTTTTAACTTGGTATTAGAGCTTCTTTGATCCGCTTCCGCTATCTTTGCTGTCTGCAGGCGGCCGGCCCCCATGGACGTCGGCAGTCCCCTAAAAGTCTCTTCTTTAACATGTGTTTTTAATGGACTCCAATTGCCCTAGTCAAGTTCTGCCTTAGAATTCTGGCCTATGTTCCAGTATTACCAAAATACAAAGTTTGTTTGAGTATGATCAGAATGGGATTCGAACTCATTCCCTTTCGGACTAGTAGTTGAAACTGATGCTTTAGATCTGTTGATGCCCAATCAATTTTGGCTCCTTTTGGCATTCTTATTGACTGCCAGTTCAATCAAAGAGATCGAAAGTCTCTTCTTCGAAGAACCCATGAAAGGCCACTGCCTTCACTGTTTATTCCGTTGTGCACCGCTGCCCTCCGCCATCGACCACCATTGTCCTCTGTACGCCGTCGGCCATCGTCGCACTTTCGTCAGGTGACCAGCGGATCTGGACTGCCTCCTTAAGCAACGACCAACTACGTCGGTTCCGAGGGCTACCTGTCATTCACGTGCCGCCACGAGTGCCAAATCTGTCCGATCGTCACTAGCCACCGCCATAGTTTCGACCGGTGACCAGCGGATCTGGATCGTCTCTTCAAGCGCGACCTACCCCTGGTGGTCGACGTCTCTGTCTCATCCGCTTGCGCCGTCACACGCCTCCTCTCTCCAATAGATCTTGGGCGCATGTTCATGACGCGCTGCCGTCCCTGTGTTGGAGTCACACCACGTCGCTTCTAGTCATGTCGCTGGACCTCCATCTCTCTGTTCTAACCCTCCATAGCAGCCATGGTTGCCATTTTCGTTGTCTTCACAACATCTTCGTCTTCTCTGTGCGACTTCCGCTTTGTGATCTACTGTTCGCCTCACGTTTCATGACCAGGGAGACCTCTTTCGATTCCTAGTCCGCTTTCGACACCACTGCGGCACTTCTTTCTTCTCCATTGTGAAAGGCACTCTGCCTCCACCAATGAGTTTCGCCTCGCGCCGTGCTGTGTTGTTCTTGCCTTTTCTTCCCTTTCTTGTGCAACATTGATTGGTGCTTCTTGCCGACGTCTCTGCCGCTTGTGCCGAATGCACCGGCACCTGTGGCCAAACATGTCTCCACCATTTGGTTACAATTCTGTGATTCTCTCTTGCAAGTGTGATGTCCCCGTTGGCCTGTGGTATGAAGGGGAGTCTATTTCTGTAGCTGTGATGTTCCAGTCAACAATTCATCAGCCTTGTTGGCGGGTGCTTTAATGCCGTTGTTGCTGCAGTCAATTGTTGTAACCTCTGCAGTTTGTCGCTACTGCCTCAATAAGCTGCCACATTTTCTTTGGTCAAGATTAAGAGTCTCGTGAAGTGCATTAGCTGTCGTTTCCGCTATGTGCCATGAGGGGAAATATTTTTCAGTCCCTGCAGAGAGCTTTCTTCTTGGGCTAGAGTTTAGCCCGTACTTTTGTGACACAATGTAAGTATCATCATCATTTGGGAGTAGTCCAGTAGAGAACTTAGGACCTCCAAAGTGTCTTTGATATTTGGTGTTTTTTGGTTTCTACCATCACTAATGTGAAAGACTCTCTTCACCGTTAATGCTTTGTTATAACAGCTCACTGAGAGTTGTTCTTTGAGACTGCCAGCTGAATTGACTCTTTCGAAGTTATGGGATTCAGATTTGTCCCTCGTACGGATCGGTTCTCACCAGTTCTTCCACCTACACTTTCTATTGTTTAGCCGTGAGGAGGAGAAAGTTCCAACTGCTGTAGGGTAGTGTAGTCCCTGCAGGTCTGCTGCTGTTAGCAAGACAGATGTTTCCTGAAGGCTTGTTGCTATTTACAGCAGTTAAGTCCCTGAAGGTTTGTTGCTGTTTATGGAAGATAAGTCCCTACAGGTTTGTGGCTATTAGCCTTTTAGTTCGAGCCGCTGCAGGTAGTGTAGTCCCTGCAGGTCTGTTGCTGTTAGCCTTTGCAGGGCAGTTAAGTTCCTGAAGGCTTGTTGCTGTTCAGGGCAGTTAAGTCTTTGAAGGTTTGTTGCTGTTCAGGGCAGTTAAGTCCCTGAAGGTTTGTTGCTGTTCAGGACAGTTAAGTCCTTAAAGGTTCATTACTGTTAGCCTTTAAAGGCCTCCCATATGTTACTCATGGAAATCAAGTTCTTGAAGCTTTGTTGTTGTTCACCACTATTGATGGCAATCTAGTCCTGTAGTTTGTTGCGATTCACCACTACAAGCCTTCATCCATCCTTGCAGTTTACTGCTGCAAGTCATCATCCATTGCTAATGGAAATCTCTCTTGTCCATGGTTGTCCAAGTTGAAGTTTCATGGTGCAAGTTCACGGTTGTCCATTATTCTCCATATGATGCTGAGGAGTCTCTTGGGCTACATTTGTTTGTGTGTGCAATTTGGTTTATTAACAATATCNACAGAAGATCTACCTCAGGATATTGTGTTTTACTTGGAGGGAACCTTGTATCTTGGAAAAGTAAGAAACAAAGTGTTGTTGCTCGATCTAGTGCTGAAGCTGAGTATCGATCTATGGCTCTAACTACATGTGAACTTGTGTGGATTAGACAACTCCTTCAAGAGTTGAAATTTTGTGAAAATGAACAGATGAAGTTGTACTGTGACAATCAAGCCGCACTTCACATTGCCTCTAATCCAGTGTTTCATGAAAGAACAAAACACATAGAGATTGATTGTCATTTTATCAGAGAGAAGTTATTGTCAAAGGATCTTGTTACTGAGTTTGTCAACTCTAATGAACAACTCGCAGACATTTTGACCAAATCTCTAAGGGGGCCTAGAATTCAATTTATATGTTCCAAGCTTGGTGCATATGATCTATATGCTCCAGCTTGAGGGGGAGTGTTGAAGTATAATGTCATTATTTTATTATTAATACTTATGTTAGGGTTTTGTTAGGGGCTTCCCGCCTTTTTATCTTTCAGAACTACTGCTTCTATAAAAACAACAGTAAAGTGTATCACTTTTGCTTAATCAAAATATAAGATTCATCTTCTCTGAACTTCAAGTATTACAAATAGAGAGTATCATAATGTATTTTTTATGATTTGAGAATAATAAATCAGTCTTATTTTTAACTTGGTATTAGAGCTTCTTTGATCCGCTTCCGCTATCTTTGCTGTCTGCAGGCGGCCGGCCCCCATGGACGTCGGCAGTCCCCTAAAAGTCTCTTCTTTAACATGTGTTTTTAATGGACTCCAATTGCCCTAGTCAAGTTCTGCCTTAGAATTCTGGCCTATGTTCCAGTATTACCAAAATACAAAGTTTGTTTGAGTATGATCAGAATGGGATTCGAACTCATTCCCTTTCGGACTAGTAGTTGAAACTGATGCTTTAGATCTGTTGATGCCCAATCAATTTTGGCTCCTTTTGGCATTCTTATTGACTGCCAGTTCAATCAAAGAGATCGAAAGTCTCTTCTTCGAAGAACCCATGAAAGGCCACTGCCTTCACTGTTTATTCCGTTGTGCACCGCTGCCCTCCGCCATCGACCACCATTGTCCTCTGTACGCCGTCGGCCATCGTCGCACTTTCGTCAGGTGACCAGCGGATCTGGACTGCCTCCTTAAGCAACGACCAACTACGTCGGTTCCGAGGGCTACCTGTCATTCACGTGCCGCCACGAGTGCCAAATCTGTCCGATCGTCACTAGCCACCGCCATAGTTTCGACCGGTGACCAGCGGATCTGGATCGTCTCTTCAAGCGCGACCTACCCCTGGTGGTCGACGTCTCTGTCTCATCCGCTTGCGCCGTCACACGCCTCCTCTCTCCAATAGATCTTGGGCGCATGTTCATGACGCGCTGCCGTCCCTGTGTTGGAGTCACACCACGTCGCTTCTAGTCATGTCGCTGGACCTCCATCTCTCTGTTCTAACCCTCCATAGCAGCCATGGTTGCCATTTTCGTTGTCTTCACAACATCTTCGTCTTCTCTGTGCGACTTCCGCTTTGTGATCTACTGTTCGCCTCACGTTTCATGACCAGGGAGACCTCTTTCGATTCCTAGTCCGCTTTCGACACCACTGCGGCACTTCTTTCTTCTCCATTGTGAAAGGCACTCTGCCTCCACCAATGAGTTTCGCCTCGCGCCGTGCTGTGTTGTTCTTGCCTTTTCTTCCCTTTCTTGTGCAACATTGATTGGTGCTTCTTGCCGACGTCTCTGCCGCTTGTGCCGAATGCACCGGCACCTGTGGCCAAACATGTCTCCACCATTTGGTTACAATTCTGTGATTCTCTCTTGCAAGTGTGATGTCCCCGTTGGCCTGTGGTATGAAGGGGAGTCTATTTCTGTAGCTGTAATGTTCCAGTCAACAATTCATCAGCCTTGTTGGCGGGTGCTTTAATGCCGTTGTTGCTGCAGTCAATTGTTGTAACCTCTGCAGTTTGTCGCTACTGCCTCAATAAGCTGCCACATTTTCTTTGGTCAAGATTAAGAGTCTCGTGAAGTGCATTAGCTGTCGTTTCCGCTATGTGCCATGAGGGGAAATATTTTTCAGTCCCTGCAGAGAGCTTTCTTCTTGGGCTAGAGTTTAGCCCGTACTTTTGTGACACAATGTAAGTATCATCATCATTTGGGAGTAGTCCAGTAGAGAACTTAGGACCTCCAAAGTGTCTTTGATATTTGGTGTTTTTTGGTTTCTACCATCACTAATGTGAAAGACTCTCTTCACCGTTAATGCTTTGTTATAACAGCTCACTGAGAGTTGTTCTTTGAGACTGCCAGCTGAATTGACTCTTTCGAAGTTATGGGATTCAGATTTGTCCCTCGTACGGATCGGTTCTCACCAGTTCTTCCACCTACACTTTCTATTGTTTAGCCGTGAGGAGGAGAAAGTTCCAACTGCTGTAGGGTAGTGTAGTCCCTGCAGGTCTGCTGCTGTTAGCAAGACAGATGTTTCCTGAAGGCTTGTTGCTATTTACAGCAGTTAAGTCCCTGAAGGTTTGTTGCTGTTTATGGAAGATAAGTCCCTACAGGTTTGTGGCTATTAGCCTTTTAGTTCGAGCCGCTGCAGGTAGTGTAGTCCCTGCAGGTCTGTTGCTGTTAGCCTTTGCAGGGCAGTTAAGTTCCTGAAGGCTTGTTGCTGTTCAGGGCAGTTAAGTCTTTGAAGGTTTGTTGCTGTTCAGGGCAGTTAAGTCCCTGAAGGTTTGTTGCTGTTCAGGACAGTTAAGTCCTTAAAGGTTCATTACTGTTAGCCTTTAAAGGCCTCCCATATGTTACTCATGGAAATCAAGTTCTTGAAGCTTTGTTGTTGTTCACCACTATTGATGGCAATCTAGTCCTGTAGTTTGTTGCGATTCACCACTACAAGCCTTCATCCATCCTTGCAGTTTACTGCTGCAAGTCATCATCCATTGCTAATGGAAATCTCTCTTGTCCATGGTTGTCCAAGTTGAAGTTTCATGGTGCAAGTTCACGGTTGTCCATTATTCTCCATATGATGCTGAGGAGTCTCTTGGGCTACATTTGTTTGTGTGTGCAATTTGGTTTATTAACAATATCTTCGATTGGGTTTGTCTATTCCAAGCTTGGTTCATTCAATCTTGTATGATCCAGCTTGAGGGGAAGTGTTGTAATTTGAGATAATATCTTTAGCATCTTCCTAATTAGAGGAAATAGATATATAATTTTTTATTTTATTTTGCTTTCCTAGTTTCTCTATTTCCCTTTTTAGGAGAATTAAATTATTACAAATAGAGAGTATCAGAATGTATTTTTTATGATTTGAGAATAATAAATCAGTCTTATTTTTAACTATAACTTTTATAAAATTACATTCAGCTTACTAATTTTATATTTATAGCTCGAGCTTTTGAATAATAAAATAATCAGGTGTTATTTCTAAAAGCTATTTCTACTCTTAGGTATTTCTAGATTCTTACATTGAGAGGATGTGTTGGAGATCCCACATTGACTAGGGGGTAGGGTATAAATCTCACATTACAAGTCAGATTTGGTTATTCATGAAGAGTATTGAATGTTGGTCAATGTGTATGGGTAGTGTGAGAGGTGAGTGATGGAGTGAGATGGTGTAGAGAAAAATGATTTATGGAGGTGCTGGAAGATGAGTTTTTTTATTGTGTTAGTGGGTTTTTTTTTTGGAACAAGAACAGGGAAGACACCTCTTCTTTGAAACCCTACACCTTCAAATGTTAGGGCAACCACAATCCCTAAAAGAGGCACAACAAACACATCATCTACACTGCCTTTTAAGAAGAAATGACATGTCATTTCATACATATTTCCGCCCCACCAAGTCCAAATGTCATTTCACAAAACAGGTTTAATTCTTACACATTTTCAAACCCAATTGAGACTAATCAAAATATGGGAACCTACTTAAGGTTTTCAAAGAAATACGAGAACCAACTGAATAGTTGGACCTTTAGGAAAAATGCATAGCCTATTCTAGGAAACAAATCCTTGTGATTGCAATAATAAAACCCAAATACAGCCAATATATAGAATTGTAACCAATAGGATTTAAATCTAAAACATCCTAAAAGATATTGACAGAATAAAATGTAAAGCTTCCTAAAATATCTCAACAACCTTGTATCTTTTACCATTTTCATAATAATAAGTCTGCTTATTGGTTTTCCTTTCAATAATCATTGTAATTATTAATAAAAAAAATTTCTAATTTATACTCGAGAACATTCAGAACTTTTCCTACCGATTTTTTCAGTGTACTGTCATAGTGGCCATTATGATTCATGTATTGTGTTCTTATGAAAGTTGATGGTGACAATGTTTTTCTTTAGCCCAACAATTAATCGAAATTGTGTTTTGGTGCATAGGTATGTGTTGAAGAAGAGTTTTGGACGTGGGTCATTTGGTGAAGTGTGGTTGGCTTTTCATTGGAATTGTTATCAAGATACTAATGTTGAAAAAGAGAACAGGGATGATACAAATACAACCAACAGCACAACGACTTCTGATTGTCAGAATGGTCCTTCTAATTACACCCTGTACATTTTGAAACGTATAATGGTAATAAGTTTGAGTGATGTTGAACTACTTTTATCGACTTCAATGCATTAGGATCTTGGTGCCTATGCATTGTGAGAATGGAGTTTATGCCTATTTTTCTTTTTGTGAATTGACATAATTAACAAGCAATAACTCTGCTGCCTTATTTATTCAATTGATGGAAATCTGGTCAGAGGTTTCTTAGACGGGAGGATCTTACATTCAGGTTTTAAGATGCAACAAAAATTACAGCTAGCTAAGCTTCTAAAAAATGGTTTATTGGATGGTTCCTAGGTTCTTTATGTTCGTTTTGGTTTCTATAGGGAGGATGGTGTATACTTGTTGTTAAAATAATTACTAAGTCTACTTGTTAGTGTAGTCAGTAGGACTAAAATAGGGGGTAGTGTGTTGGGTTATCTCTAATCATTGTACCTAGCAGTCTAGGACAGTGACTTGACCTTCTATCTCTCTATTGTATCAACTCTTTATCTATATAAATAACAGAACATGAGAGGTGTCTTTCAAGCCCTCAAGAACATATTTTTATCTTAAGTTGGTATCAGAGTAGGTTCATCCTACTCTGGTTTCTGTCGTAAAGTGGTCCACCAGCATTGTCATTGCTGTTTGCATCTGTCAGGTGCCCATTGCTGCCGTCAGCGGTTGTCTTGCCACTGTCTGCAGCTGTCAACTGCAATTTGAAGCTCTTTAACTTGGTTCTCTGCCATCTCGCATGTGTTCTCCACCGTCCGCTGTCACTGTTCCGTCCGGCGACCACTGGATCTGGTTCGCCTCTTCACGCGACGACCAACCCCACCGGTGCTGGCGTCTGATTCTTCCCCATGCTCTGCCACGCGCCGCTTCTTTGTGCGCTGCGAACAGGCGCGTGCAGCTCACCACGACACCTCCATAGCCGTCGCCTGGACCCCCTCTCTCTGCGTTGCCCCTCAAAACCCTGCTTCAGTGAGGTCCAGAAGCTCCCCTTGAAGAAAACCCTAAGAAACCCCTAGGGTTTTCTAGTTCCTCTCTGTTTTCTGGCTCCTTTCTGGTTCCTCTCCTATTTTTATCAACAATGGCGTCTGGAAGTGTTCTTTCTTTCTCTGGAGGTCCCTCAATTACTTCTGAAAAGCTTAACGGAAATAATTACCTCTCTTGGTCTGCTGCCGTGGAAATGTGGTTTCTCGGTCAAGGACATTATGACCACTTTGAAGAGGATGGAAGCCAAGTACCTTCCGAAAAAGCTGAACAATGGAAACAAGCAGATTTCCAATTGTGTGCCATATTGTGGCAATCTGTGGAATCCTGACTTTTGATATCTCTTAGAGCCTTCAAAACATGTCACTCTTTTTGGAAGAAAGCTCAAAGCATTTATGCTAATGATATTCAACGTCTTTATGATACAGCAAACAAGCTTGCATGTCTCAAAATGATAGACCATGATATGGTCTCCTTCATGACTGAAGCCCAAGCAGCTGTGGAAGAGTTGAGAATGTTCTTGGAAGTGGAATCTTCGGAAGACATCAAGAAGAAGCTTGACAAGTATTATATGGTGATGATCCTCCGTGCTTTACACCCTGATTTGAATCATATCAGAGATCAACTTCTGACAAGTCATGAGGTCCCTTCCTTGGAAGCCTTGACCACACGTCTTCTTCGTGTTCCAGTGCCTCAATCTCAGGAAGCTCCTGAAACAATGGAACCATCTGTCATGGTTGCTACGCGGGGAAGAGGAGGACGAAGCACTAGAGGAGGAGGACGTGGAGGTAGGGGACGTCCACAGTGCACTTACTGTAAGAGGATGGTCACACCCAAGAAAACTGCTACTCTTTGCATGGTTTTCCTTCAAAAACAGCCAATATCTCTAAGGCTGAAACTCCCACTTCCAAGAGTATCTGCGATTAACGTCTAACAGCTTCGCACAATCATCTCAATCCCCAAGTACATCCACAACTTGCTTTTCTCAATTCATGGAAGGTCAAAATTCATGGGTAGTTGACTCGGGTGCTTCTGATCACATCTCTGGTAATACCTCATTGTTCTCAACCCTTTCCCTCCAAGAAAAACCCCATTTCATTACTCTTGCAAATGGCTTTAAAACTTGTTCAAAGGGAGTCGGTCAAGTCTCCCTGTCTCCCTCTCTAACTCTGAAATCCGTTCTTTTTGTCCCTAATTGTCCATTCAATTTAATTTCCTTAAGTTAGTTAACCAAAATGTTACATTGTTCAATAACTTTCAATTCAAAATCTTTTGTTATACAGGAGCGTGGCTCGGGGAGACAGATTGGAGAAGGATATGAAGCTGGAGGTTTGTACCATTTTGGATCTCGTCCACGGGTATCCTGTGTTGCAGCTCTTCCCCCTAAAGTGTTACATGACCGATTTGGCCACCCTCACTTGTCAAAGTTAAAAAAGATTTGTCCTGAACTTAGTCGTCTTCAGACTTCAGAATGTGAGTCTTGTCAACTAGGAAAACATGTTAGATCTGTCTTTCCTAAAAAGTCTCCGTCAATGTGTAATTCTAGTTTTTCTATTATTCATTCTGATGTCTGGGGGACCTAGTCGTGTCTCTTCTTTTGGTTTAGGTACTTTGTTACCTTTATTGATGAGTATTCTAGATGTACTTGGGTTTATCTAATGAAAGATCGCTCTGAATTGTTACCCATCTTCACATCCTTTTTGAATGAAATAAAGAACAAATTTGGTCTAGTGATTAAAATCTTAAGAAGTGATAATGCTAAAGAGTAGTTCTCATCCAATTTTTCTGCAATCCTTAGCTCCCATGGTATTTTGCATCAGTCCACTTGTCCTCATACACCCCAGCAAAATGGTATTGTCGAAAGAAAAAATAGACACTTAGTTGAAATTGCTCGTATCCTTTTGCTTGGTGCCCATATACCTGTCCATCACTGGGGGATGCCATCTTAACCGTCTGTTTTCTTATTAATAGGATGCCCTCCTCCTCTCTCAATAATAAAGTCCCTTTCTCGATTCTCTTTCCCAATGATCCTCTCTTTCACACCCCTCCTCGAGTTTTTGGTTGTGTATGTTTTGTTCATGACATGTCTCCGGGGCTAGACAAGCTCTCTGCTCGTGCGATCAAATGTGTTTTTTTGGGCTATTCTCGGCTTCAAAAAGGGTACCGGTGTTACTCTCCTGAAACCAAGAAGTACTACATGTCTGCCAATGTTACATTCTTTGAACGGACACCTTTCTTCTCTTCATCTGTTCAAGATGTCCATATCCTCCAACAGGTCCTTTCTCTTCCAGTAGTTGAGTCCAACATCTCTAATGTCACTGTCAATCCAAGTCATGCTCAAGGTCCTCCTAAAGTTTCCTCTCCACATATTGATATCTGCCGACACAGTACCCCGATGGGTAGTCCTCTTCTAGAAAATGGTGGATCTCCTCCTTCAGATTCTTCTCCCTCATCGCCTCCTGCCATGCCTCCTGGTAAAGATGATTCTGGTTGGCCCATTGCTCTCAGAAAAGGTACTCGTTCCACTCGAAACCCTCATCCCATTTATAATTTTCTTAGCTATCACAGATTGTCGCCCTCCTTTTATTCCCTTTTATCCTCAGTGTCCTCTGTGGTTATACCCAAAAATGTGAAAGAAGCACTTGATCATCCTGGATGGCGACAGGCCATGATTGCTGAAATGCAGGCTTTTGACCACAGTAATACTTGGGAGCTTGTGCCACTTCCCCCGGGCAAAAAGGCTGTTGGTTGTCGATGAGCCTTTGGAATTAAAGTTGGCCCTAATGGTGACATTGATGGCTCAAAGCCCGGCTAGTTGCAAAAGGGTACACTCAGGTGTATGGCCTTGATTATTGTGACACATTTTCTCCAGTGCCCAAGATGACTACCATTTGTATACTAGCTTAGGGAGGTTCTTTTAAGTTTTTTGATGCATTTTGTTTAGAATGTTGGAGAGCTTCTTGAAATAATTTTGTGGAAGCTTTATTATAGAAGGGTGGTTTTGATTGTCTTTTTAAAATTCTAACATTGGGTGATGTTGTGGTTGTATAGAGGGTTGCAACAAGATATGATAGGTAAATTATGAGATTTGGGTGGTGTAAGGGAGGATAGTCGAAGCTATGGTTGGGAAAGGTTTGAAGGTGTTTCTTTGTTTTCTTGGAGAAACATAAGATTGGACGAGTTTTGTGAGAGTTCTCTTTAGGATTTTTTTGATGTTATTGAATATAATAAAATTAGGTATAGGATTAATCTCCCTTATGTCTAAAATACATATAGGGTAATATATTTATATGAGAATGATACAATTATATATGGAAACCAAACACAAATATAAACAATATCTACCAATATGGTAAATAGAAAATATTGTTAAAAAACAATATGAACAATATTTACTAATATCAAACAATATCAAAAGTCCATGTTTTCCTAATTAACTTAAAACACAATATATTTAACACTCCCCTCAAGCTGGTGCATATAAATTGTATGTGTCAAGCTTGTTACAAATATAATCATTGGTCCCCTTAAAGACTAAGCGAAAATATCTGCTAATGAAGTGATTAAGTTAACAAAGTCATTCTTGATGTCTCTAGCTACAATCTTCTCTCGAATGAAATTGTTAGGTTTCTATAATTGGAAACCTAATTCTCTCCTCTCACAATTCACAACAGGAATACAAAAACAGAAGAATGAATCGTATTTCTTTATTTGCACACTAACAATGTCAAGAATCAATGTACACTTATGGGTAAATGCGGGAGCCTAATTCCCCTCCCTGACTATACACGTAAAACTATTCCCTCCTTAACCAACTAACAATTATTCTATTTATAATGTGTTCTTCCCTCCAACTAGCTGTCAGATATAAGTACATTTGAGTGACATCTTCAAATTGTAACTCTGTAAGCAATTGCCAAGGAAATGTCAAGACGAGTTATTGTAATGTAATTTAATTTCCTAACTAATCTTCTATACTGCTCAGGATCTAAAATAGGGTCCCCTTGATTTTGGTATTAGGATCCATGTGTGAATAGGTTTTGAATTCATCAACCCAATTTCTTCCAAAATATCCAATGGATACTTCTTTTGAGATATAACAATACCATTGTTGGATTGTGCTACCTCAATACCTATGAAGTATTTGAGTTTGCCTAGATCTTTGGTCTGAAAATGATGACAGGTATTGTTTCATCTGGAAGATGCCATGGTGGTTCTTGCTAGTGAGAACAATGTCCTCAGCACATAGTATCAAATAGGCACATCTAGCACTAGAGTGACGATAAAAGACTGAATGATCCGCCTCACTTCAAGTCATACCAAATTGTTGAACCACAATGCTAAATTTGTCAAACCAAGCCTTAGGAGATTGTTTTAGACCATATAAAGATTTGTGAAGATGACATACCAATCCAAAAGACTTTCCCTAAGCAACCAATTCGGGAGGTTGCTTCATATAAATTTATTCTTGCAAATCTCCATTGAGGAAAGTGTTTTGACATACATTTGATAAAGTGACCATTATTGAAGAGTAGCCATGGCTAGAAATAAACAAACAAAAACTATCGTTGCCACTAGAGAAAATGTATCTCTATAATCCAATCCAAAAATGTGTGTAGCCTTTGGCTACAAGTTGAGCTTTGAGGCGATTAATAGTACCATTAAAACCAACTTTGATAGCAAAAACCCATATGCAACAAAAAACAAATTTCCCATATGATCATGGGATGAGCTCTCAAGTTCCACTGTTCTGATGAGCAAAGTTCATCTAGCATGTCTGATGCTAACTAGGACGACCTAGGCATTACTGACAAAATTAGAAATGGATACAAAAATATACCTTTACGAAGAGCAATTGGGAGGTCAAACTCAATTGTAGGAGCTAGGGAAGACAAAATAGTTGGCACTTGAATCACTTGGTGGTTGTTGGGACTATGTCTTCGACTAGAAACCCGAAGAGGTGGTGGAGGAGGAGAATCTGATGGTGGACTATGTACAATAGGAGGATCACATAACAGTAGCAGATGGAGACAAATAAGAAGAAGAAAGACCCTTAAAGTAAATCAAAAATTCATTGAAGGTGGCATCTACGGAAACAAAATAGCAGTTAAAATAAGGAGAAAAAGACTTGTATCCTTTTTGGGATCGAGTAAATCCTAAAAACACACATTTGTGTGATCTAGGAGATAACTTACCAAGTCTAGGACCAAAATTATGAACAAAAAATATAAACCCAAAAACTTTCAGAGGCAAGGGATGAAGAGGTTCATGAGAAAATAAAATAGAATGAGGAATTTTGTAATCTAAAACCGAAGATGACATACGATTAATAAGATAACTTGAATTAAGAATAGTATCACCACAAAAATTGTTAAGGAACCTGACCATGAATTAAAAGGGTGCAAGTTGTTTCAATAAGATGTCTATTCTTGCACTCAGTCACCCCATCTTGTTGAGGTGTATAAAGACCATGAGACTCACATTTATTATCAATAACCTATCTCGAACTCTAGTCATGTAAACAAACAGAAGTTTTAGTAAAAAAAATAACACAATCAAGAGAATGAGTTTGACGACTAATGGATAATAAGTTTTAAAGAAGATTTGATGGTATTTTTGAGAACTATACATAATTAAGCATCAATATCTTGATCACCTTTAGTAAGATGATCAAGATACTCCTAACTCAAGCCAAAGTTTAATGTCCGATGCCTAAGTCACATAATTAGTACCATCTAACTTATCAATGGGCAAGTGCACATTGACATAGTTAGTAAAGACTTACTAGTCAGACACATTGGTGGCAGAAGAGATACTTGGAGACGCCATTGAAGAAGAGAGAGAAAAAACCTAAAACACCAAGGTTCTCCAATCAAGGTAATAAGCACAGATCCTGAAAGAGGGTAAGGAGGCGACTTCAGCGTAGTTGATCGCTGCCCCGATGGTGCGGTCCTATCCAGGAAAGAGTTCGTCCTATCTAGGAAAGAGTTCGATCGTTTTTGTATTTGATTCCTCCCATAAGATAAACAAAGGAAATCTAAAAAACGCAAAAATAAGACAAAGATGGAGATACCACAATCTAGCATATTCATGAGTCAATGATGATTTCGCCCCAAAGATCTCAATCTTGGATAAGAACCAATAAAATCTTTTCTCAATGAATTCAAAATTAAAATATTGACTATCAAAAGCTTTAAGCTCTAGACACAATATTGAAAATGATAAAACTAGGTATATGATTAATCTCCCTTGTGTCTAAAACACACATAGAGTAATATATTTATAATGAAGAATGATACAAGTATATTTGGCAACCAAACATAAATATGGTAAATAGAAGATATTGTTAAAAAACAATATCTACCAATATCAAACAATATAAAAAGTCTACGTTTCCCTAATTAACATAAAACACAATATATCTAACAAATGTTATTGGCAAGCCGAAGGGATGTAGAGGCAAGGAATGAAATCTTGGCAAGAACACAATTGAACAACACAAGAAATGGAATAGAAAAAATATGGAAGATAGACACATGATGAATGGAAAAGGGATAAGGTAGGGTGATGATTACCTCATCAAATGTACACAACCATGGAGGTTGGCTATGACCCTTGAAGGTCCCTTGGCACACTTCTTGGTGGCTCTAAGAAGGCAAGAAAAAGAGAGGTCACTTGGGACAAGTCAACTAAGCAAGCAACACTCCCACATAAGAAACACAAAAAAACTTTAAAGGCACTCTTTCTTGATTTCTATTCCATGAGTGATTTTGCAAGGCATGTATGGTCTCCCTTTATAGGACGAGGAGCCATGATCTATCTAGTCTAAATGGAGATCTTATACTACTTTTTAGGGTTAGCTATTCTAACCTAGGTTGGCTTTATTATAATATTTAATTAATCTAGCTAATCTATGCCTCTTTTCTGGATATAGCCTTGTGGGACTTTGTACTATGTTTTTTACATTTTTTGTATTTTTGATTTGTCTTGCTATTTCTTTACCAAACTCTTCTTTAATTGAAAACCCCATTTTCATGATCATATCAACAATGTATATTCTTGTAGTCCCTATTTTTTATATATTTTGGAATATAGATAGACATTTCTCGAAAATGAGTCAGTGTCCTTATGTTGATTACTTGACCTCAGAGGAAGCGGCTTGTTTTATTCTTTTAGTCAGATCGTTCTACTTTCCTATTCAGCTTCTACATATTACATGGTGCGCTTTTTTTCTTACTAAATATAATTTAAATTAGATGTTTTATTTTAGTCTTACGTAGTTATCACCGTAAAAATGAAAACTGAACCTTCTAAGAAGAAATTAATTTTAGTAATTGTTTTCTGGANCACACATAGAGTAATATATTTATAATGAAGAATGATACAAGTATATTTGGCAACCAAACATAAATATGGTAAATAGAAGATATTGTTAAAAAACAATATCTACCAATATCAAACAATATAAAAAGTCTACGTTTCCCTAATTAACATAAAACACAATATATCTAACAAATGTTATTGGCAAGCCGAAGGGATGTAGAGGCAAGGAATGAAATCTTGGCAAGAACACAATTGAACAACACAAGAAATGGAATAGAAAAAATATGGAAGATAGACACATGATGAATGGAAAAGGGATAAGGTAGGGTGATGATTACCTCATCAAATGTACACAACCATGGAGGTTGGCTATGACCCTTGAAGGTCCCTTGGCACACTTCTTGGTGGCTCTAAGAAGGCAAGAAAAAGAGAGGTCACTTGGGACAAGTCAACTAAGCAAGCAACACTCCCACATAAGAAACACAAAAAAACTTTAAAGGCACTCTTTCTTGATTTCTATTCCATGAGTGATTTTGCAAGGCATGTATGGTCTCCCTTTATAGGACGAGGAGCCATGATCTATCTAGTCTAAATGGAGATCTTATACTACTTTTTAGGGTTAGCTATTCTAACCTAGGTTGGCTTTATTATAATATTTAATTAATCTAGCTAATCTATGCCTCTTTTCTGGATATAGCCTTGTGGGACTTTGTACTATGTTTTTTACATTTTTTGTATTTTTGATTTGTCTTGCTATTTCTTTACCAAACTCTTCTTTAATTGAAAACCCCATTTTCATGATCATATCAACAATGTATATTCTTGTAGTCCCTATTTTTTATATATTTTGGAATATAGATAGACATTTCTCGAAAATGAGTCAGTGTCCTTATGTTGATTACTTGACCTCAGAGGAAGCGGCTTGTTTTATTCTTTTAGTCAGATCGTTCTACTTTCCTATTCAGCTTCTACATATTACATGGTGCGCTTTTTTTCTTACTAAATATAATTTAAATTAGATGTTTTATTTTAGTCTTACGTAGTTATCACCGTAAAAATGAAAACTGAACCTTCTAAGAAGAAATTAATTTTAGTAATTGTTTTCTGGAATAATGTTGAAAGCCTAAAATTATGATAAATTATCTTTTACATTTGATGTGTGTGATTTTCTATATAGTCCTTTAGTCTGTATTTTGTTTTATCCTCTCATTAGTAGAAATCTAATTCTCCCTATTGTTTCTAATACTCCCTATTGGAGCTTGTCTCATCTCCCCTCCGTCTTACTGAACTCCTCTCCTTTCACACCTATCTCTTTCACTTAAGAATGATGCCTGTCGTTATTGCAAACAAAGCTTCAATTGCTTGTTATTTTGGGCCTCTCCCCTTTTACCTTTCATTCTCTAACAATAATTTGTTAACAAAAGCTTTTAATGATAAATATAAATCCCAATCAAAAGGGAAGATGCATGCTTGGACTTTTTGCTTTGATTTTAATAGGAAAATATGTTTTTAGGAGGTACTGTATTTTTAATTATGCACACGTAACCATGTAACAGAAATAAATCTGAAATGAATTGAACAGGTGGAGAGGGGGTCAGCTGTTTACTTAAGTGGTCTAAGGGAGAAGTACTTCGGAGAAGTTTTTTTAAATGCCTCTACATGCTTTGAAGATCCACTATCGACTGGAAAATCAAACTGTGTCTTGGAATCATCACATGAGAATTCATTTCCGAACAAATTTCGACCACAAAGAACCCTATATGAAGAAGGCTTGAATCATATTGCAAGATATGTGGAATCTTTTGAGTCTCAAGCAAACGAAATTTGGCTTGTATTTAGTTTTGAAGGTGTGTCACTGTCTAAACTTCTATATTCCATGGAAGATGCATATGGTACTGCTGAGCAAGAAAGACTTGAGCAAGCTAAACACGCTCAGATACTACGACCATCAAAGTGGTGGCATTGGTTGAAAACAACAGAAGAAGGGCAGGCAGAAATGCGTAACCTTATCTGGCAGCTGGTATGTCTTAAACATAAATGTATTACCCTGATAGCCTTTATAGTTCCCTAGTATTCATAATATACTTTGAGATCTGTGTAGATATTAGAAATTGCATTTATTTCAGGAAAAAGTAAAAAGCCATTACTATTACTTAGGTGCACAGCTTTTTTCTTTTTTTTTTCTTTCTTTTTAAGTCCTTAGGTTTCTCATCATTTTTCTTTCATTCTATTTATGGTGCATTATAAACCTGTGCATAAGTTCTTGGGTACTTAATTTGTGTCTAATATTATAAATTGGTTTCAATGCAACCAGGGCTTATTAAGAAGTTTTTGTCCTAGTTTTTCTAATAATTCGTCAATCCCAAATCTTGATCTCATGGAGAAAGTTGAAAATAAGAATGATTTTATTATTCTCAATCATATGAATTACATTCTCCTTTGCTCTATTTGTAACAATCTAATCTTCTAAAATAGGGAAATGGGGAAACAAAATAATCTAGAAGATTACATATCTATTTTCTCTAATTAAGAAGATTCTATAGATATCTTCTTTAATTAAGAAAATATTTCCTCTAATTACAACACTCCCCCTCAAGCTGGTAAATGAATATCAATCATAAATGAATATCAATCATTCCCAACTTGGTTATAAGATCTTGAAATCTACCTGGAGGGAGTCCTTTTGTAAAAATATCTGCTATTTGAAATTCTGTAGGAACATGCTTTGTAATCACAAAGCCTCTGTCTATATTATCTTTGATGAAATGTCTGTTAATCTCAATGATTTTGGTTCTATCATGCTGTACTGGATTATTGGCTATGCTCATGGCAGACTTACTGTCACAGTATAGTTGCACAGGGCTATCCACCTTGACTTTAAGATCATCCAAAATGATTTTCATCTAGAGTCCTTCACATTCCTTGAGCAAGAGCTCGAAATTCTTCTTATGCACTAGAACGAGATACTCTATCTTGCTTTTTGCTTCTCTGTGTTACCAGACTATTTTTAAGAAACACACAATACCTAGTAGTAGGTTTTCTGTCAGTAATAGAACTTGCACAGTCAGCATCAATATATATTTTCATAGTCAATGTGTCTTCCCTTTTGAATAATAGCCCCTTTCTTGGACTTGACTTCAAGTATTGTTGAGTTTCGTCAACTACTTGCATGTGTCTCTCTCTTGGATCATGCATAAATTGGCTCATTACACTAACTACATAAGCAATGTCTAGTCTTATGTGTGATAGATAGATCAATTTTCCTACCAATCTCTGATATTGGTCTTTCTCTACAGGAGCACTTTCCTCACTTCCAATTCTGTGATTCTGTTCTATAGGAACTGTAGAGGTTCTACATCCCAACTTTCCTGTTTCTTTGACGAGATCCAATACATATTTCCTTTAGGAGATGAAAATTCCGTTCTTGGAGTAATCAACCTCTATTCCAAGAAAAGATTTGAGTTTTCCCAAGTCTTTCATTTCAAATTGGGCAGCCAATTTATCTTTTAATGTCAATTTTTCTGTTTCATCATCTCCTGCAATAATCATATCATCCACATAAACAAGCAATAAAGTGAGTTTACCTGTAGAAGAGTGCTTTATGAATAGAGTATGATCTCCTTGCTTTGTCTGTATCCCAAGGAAACCATTGCTTTTGTAAATCTTCCAAACCATGCTCTAGGGGATTGCTTAAGACCATACAATGCTTTCTTCAAGAGGCATACATTGTTTCTTTCATTTTTCACTTCAATACCTGGGGAAATCTCCATGTACACTTCCTCTTCTAGATTTCATGAAGAAAGGCATTCTTCACATCCAACTGGTGTAAGTCCCATCCAAAATGAGCAGCCAAAGCGAGAATAACTCACTGTATTCATCTTTGCCACTGGGGCAAATGTCTCCTCTTAGTCAATCCCATATGTTTGGGTATATCCTTTTGCCACCAATCTAGATTTATATCTTTCTATTGTCCCATTTGCCTTATGTTTCACTGTGAATATCCATCTACACTCTACTGCCTTCTTGTCTCTTGGCTTATCAACAATCTTTTCTTTCATGGCTTGATTACAATGTTCAAGTTTCATGGCCTCCTGGATTGAGATAGGAATTTCTGTGGCATCAATGGCAATAGTAAAACTTTTGTGCTTACCAGAGAGATTGTTAGTGCAAACATACTGAGAAATAGGATATTTAGCACATGATCTTCTTTCCTTTCTCATTGCAATGGGTAAATCCTCATTAATACTTACCTCCTCTTCATTGATATCTTTAGGGATCCTCACCTTCGGATTAGACAAATTTTCTTTCTCGAGAGTCGAAGTGGGTTGTTTTCTTCTTTCATATATTTTGCCAAAATATTTGTCTTCTTCCTCACTGTGGACTATGGTAGCCTCATTAAAAACTTCAAAATATCCCCTTATTAAGCATGATAGTTCTCCAAGCTTCTTCTCCTCTTACCATAATAAAAACTTCTGATAGGGATGGTAATTTTTCTCTTCCAAAAATTTGTACCCAACTTGCGTCGTACTCATGATTCAGGCCATGGAGAAATTTAAAGATTCTTCCCTTTTCAACGAATTCAGCAAGTGCGGCAGCATCTGTTTTACACATCTTTATTGTTTGGTTCTGATCAAATTCCATCCAAAGTCCATTCAGAATCCTGTGCTATTCTGATATGGAAAGGGAGCCATGTTTTGTATTAAATATCCTGCTTTCAATGTCATAGAAAGCAGTACGATCCTTTTTCAATGAAAAAGTAATCTGTAAATCATCCCATATTTCTTTTGCAGAAGAATGAAACATATAATTTCTACGTATCTCATAAATCATGGATTGCCACATCCAAGTCATAATTAGTGAATCTTCATTGTCCCAAATTGGAAAATGAGTGTCGTCTGGTCCTGGTCCTCTTTCATCTATGTGATCAAGTCTTGAACGACCGTTGAGAATCCTTCAAATAAACTTGCTCCATTGTAAGTAATTCCAACCATCCAACCGATAGGTACCCATTATATTTGGTAGGTCATTAGGACCCAAAGACAATTTTTACTTCAGACATCACGTAGAACGCAATCAGGTGTCTTTGGTGACCTTTTCCGAGACATCGATAGCATGAGTGTCACACTGAGAAAAAGGAGAAGAACTGAAAACTCATATCTACTCAAATATGGGCCAAACGGGACGTCACCGACCCTTGGAATGGAACCAGGAGGCTCTGGCGACCCGGTATGTGGCAGCGGCAGCGAGTGGGTCTCGTTGGAACTAGGTGTGTGGGCTACATGCGCCGGCGACGGTGGCGGCGCATCGAGGCGCGTGGCGGCTTCTTTCCTGGAGTGACTTCCGGTGTTGGGATCACCCTTCTACCCTATCAACAACCCCAGTCAGCTACTGTGGCAGTCGTGGTTGTCGGACAGCGGCGACGGCACTGTTAACCTCCGGTGTTGGGTTAGCCGGAGTTGGGCACACCTTTCTTCCCTATCAACAACACCAGTCGGTTACGGTGGCAGCCGTAGTGGTCGGACAACGGCGGCTACTGCTGCAGCAGAAATAGAACCCCCAAAATCAGGAGCTAATGATTTTATTATTCTCAATCATATGAATTACATTCTCCTTTGCTCTATTTGTAACAATCTAATCTTCTAAAATAGGGAAATGGGGAAACAAAATAATCTAGAAGATTACACATCTATTTTCTCTAATTAGGAAGATTCTATAGATATCTTCTTTAATTAAGAACATATTTCCTCTAATTACTACAGAGAACATTCATTATTCAAGTATCTTAAGAGTTTTTGCCGTTCAGTATTTTGATATCTTAAATAAATTTGATAGCTGCTGTCAACAAAGACGGACAAATATTACATTTCCCAGAATTTATTATTGATTTTTCCTGTGCTGCATATTCTTGACAATCCTCAGTTATTAGCTCTCAAGTCCTGTCATGATCGCAACATCACACACAGAGATATTAAACCTGGTAAGACATGGGTAATTTGTTGTTCCTGAGAGATGTATGCCTATACTGATTCTTAGAAGAACAGAATATTAGTGACTTTAAATTCATAAGCACCAACTAATTGATACGCTCTTGAACTGTGGATAAAAGGGCAATTTACTGAATCAATAGTATATCTATTTTTACCTTTTTAAGTAAACTCACCTTTTATTCTTCTTTATTATAGATTTACTTAATCAAGCTGGGCGATTTTTTATTAGAGTATAATATAAAAAAGATTGCATTTTTCATTCTGTTATAAAACAGAATATGTTCTTCGTTTGTCTTACCAGTTGTACCAGTTTGTTAGTCTGTTATCCACCATTGTACAGCTGTATTACTGAGGGCAGCTACCATAAATGCTTACTCTGTATTCGGTTTTCAGTGGGTTGAATCAATTGAAAACCTTCAGTCTAAGTTTAATTCTCTCTCTAAAACTTTTCAATTTCAGTTTAATTCTCTCTCTAAATTTCTCTAAAGGTTTTGGATCTTATGTTTACTCAAAAATGTTTCACCTGTGTATTTTAATGCTTACTTGACTAATTGTTTAAACACTACCCTTATCCACAGTTCATAACAAGATTGCTATATGTGATTCATTGATGCATATTTGATCGATTTTTCTTTTTTTATAATGCAATGCTCCATTGAAAGAATTTATTTTAAAAAAATTAACTGAATGTATTTTACTTTTGAAGAGAATATGGTGATATGCTTTGAAGATCAGGAAACAGGGAGATGCTTGAAAGAGATTCCCACTAAAGTTAATAATTCTTCTACCAAAATGTACGTGAAGCATCCTGGTTGTATTTCAGTACCATCCTTTTGTTTTAAACTGTTTATTTTGGAATAAAAACTTTATTGTAAACACTTTAACATCTGTCTTATATTTAAACCATGGATATGCCTAGTTACATCTATTTATTATTAGTTAAACTGTGGTGTAATCCGTATTTTTCTTAAGCATTGTGTATTTGGTTTTAATATCATCTTATTGAATGATTAACTTTTGCAACTCTTCTACTATCATGGTGTTGGTGCATCTAAGAGTCTTGTTACAGGCAGAATTTCGCTTCCTAATGTTTGACATTCAAGTTATTTCAAAAACTACTTGAATAAATATTTTTAAAGCCAATAATATATTGCAATGATCCTCTTAGTTTGGCTGCCTATTTCATGTCATTTCAAAGATTGATCTACCATCTATTTCCAATTTTATATCTCCTTATGTATGGAACATTTAAATAGTTTTTTCATTTCTTTTTGTTGAAAGTCTCACATTGACTAGAGATAAGATCAATTCATAGTATATAATTTATATATATACATAAGTTGGTGCAAATTTCACCTTATAAGCTAGTTTTGTGAGGTTGAGTTAGGCTTAAAGTTCACTTCTTAACATAGTATCAGAGTCATGGATTATAAAGTCTATCCTAGTGAAATTTGATGTTCGGCCTATGGGTCCACTAGCTATCGGACTATCCATTTATATAAGTGGATGAAAACCTCACCATACAAGCCGGTTTTGTAGAGTTGAGTTAGGTTTAAAATTCACTCCTTAACACTTTCTGAAAATTGATCTACAAAATTAAATTCTCTGCTATTTCTATTCACATTTACTCATTCTGTTCCAAAAAGGTAAGCTATATATGGTGACTGACATTTCAGTAAAGATAATATGCAAAGAAATTCATTCACTGTGAAATCTGATGTTCATCTCTTTTGATAAGAATTTTATATTTGAGCTGTTTTTGTTTTTGATTGCTTACCATTTATTTGATTAGAGAGGACCTACTATTACTTATGTGTCTGAATTCTATGCCTTTTAGTATGATGAATGTTGAGATTTTCTTATGAAGCCTTTCATGTACTGTACTTATGGAATTTAAATTCAGCTATATCACATGATGCATAAAATTTTTCCTAATTAACTCTTCAAATCATTACAATGTGAATCTATCTATAAACAGGTCTATTAGATATCTATATATGCTATATATCCTGCTTGCGTTGGGAAATTTTTTTCTCAAATTATTATTTACCTGATAGTCATAGTTGAGTCTTTGGCAATGATAGCAATAAAACTAGGTTAGTGCTTACCTTTAAAACTTGAGTTGTCTATCCAACTATATGTCTCCATTCATGTGTGCATAATTTCTAGGCGTTTTGAAGTGAGTTTGGTTCCTTTTTGCTGTTTCTTTTAGGCGTATTATTGACTTTGGAAGTGGACTTGATGAATACACATTAAATAATTTGTATGGTTCTACTGGGCCTTCGAGGTATCTTGCTTCTCTTTACACACTGATCATTTACTAGTGATTATTGTGGTAAAAAATTGCTATATTTCTTCAGAGCTGAGCAAACCTATGAGTATACGCCTCCTGAAGCTTTACTAAATGCTACATGGTATCAAGGGCCAACAAGCTCGACTTTGAAGTATGTGATATTTCTACATGAAGTTAGCATCCATATTCATTTTTTTTTTTTTCTTTTTAAGATGTTGCTTGGTCTTTTGATTCTGCATGTTTTTGATGCAACCTTTATGCTTTCACAGATATGACATGTGGAGCGTTGGTGTTGTGATGTTAGAGTTGGTCTTAGGGACACCAGATGTTTTTCAGATAAATGCTTTAACACGGACTCTATTAGATCAACATCTAGAAGGCTGGAATGAGGGCGTGAAGGAGCTGGCATATAAGTATGTATTTTTTATGGTGTTAATCTTAATTCTGTTTGATAGCAAGAAATTAGGATGACACAATGATAGTACCTATCTCTATCTAAACTAGAAAGGCAACCAAAATTTGTTTATGCGATGTAAGTTCTTGCTAGTTCAAAAGGAATGTAGCCTTTAGGTGTTGTTCTGTGTCTGAAGATGTCTTGTTCACCAATTCACCAAATTGTGTGATGGGAACTAAGATCCAAGTTAGTTCCACTAATGGATTGGAGGTAGTTCAGTATTAGGAGTATATACCATAGAAAATAACTGGTTCTATGGTAACAAATCCATTAAAGCATTTCTGTATTAAAAGTTGTAGGATGTCAGTTAAGAGTAGAAAATGACTGGCACTGTATTACTAGAAAATAGTTCTGTATTAGAAGTGCATAGTGGCAGTTATGCATGGAAAATAACTTTTGGGAGTCATGTTTCAAAAGTGTGTGGCTAATAGTTGGTTGTGTAATTAGGAATTATGAAGTTATTTGTAGTTTGTGGATAACTAGTTTATGGCTGTATCGTGTGTGATTTTCAGTGTCTAATATTATATTTACTTTCTCTTTTAGGGTTTTATTGAATTTATTTTTAAACTCAACTTAATCAGTATCTCAATGCTACAGTGTCTGTTTTGTTGTTCCTAATATTTGGCTGGAGTTTTTTTTACACAAGTACAAGTCCTTCATTGAATTGGAGTTTCCCCATTATTTATTGGCATAGATGACAACAGTTTTGATGTTCAATGATGTGTATTCCTTTGTGGATCAGCTTGGGACCCCAAATAACAATATTCAGTTTTCTGGTTTAAGTTTGAAGTTAAGAATCTTTCATTCATTTCAACTTTTTAGAATTTGCTTGCTCTTTAGCATTTTCCTATCTTTATTAAATATTAAGGAAGCAGGGGAGAACAAATGCTTCGAAATTTCAAAACACTGGGCATCTGGGAGTTGATTGCCTTTGTCTCTGTTATATGATTGCATTTTAGTTGTTTATTTATATCAGGTATTTATTATTGCAAAACCTCCCAAGCATTTTGTTTGCCACAGTCCCATACATTTTGTAGGTTTGACTGTTGATAACTAAAATGTTTACTGTCACTGTCTCCTTCAAGGGTGGTATGTGCAAGCAGTCAGGTGTATATTTGAATCTTGCTCATGCATCCCAGTTTTAAATATTAATAGTTTACATCTAAACGTGTTATTTTTGTTCTAAAGACTTTATTGTAATGAAGGGAACTTGATATTTATTCATTCTTTTGAATTTATGTACCCTATTATTTTAACTATCATCTTTTAATGTGGTAACAGACTTAGATCATTCATGGAATTGTGCATTTTAATCCCTGGGATCTCCAGGTCCAGCAGTTTCTCAAAAAAGTATGACACAGTGAACCAAGTAAGTTTTACCACCGTTACTGTTTTAATCTTTGGTTCTTGACCTGACTAAAGCTAATTAAGTTGTTTAAACTTTTTCATGTGTTATGACGCTGTTGATTGACATTTTTTAAAATTAAAAATATTTTACTATTTTATAATAAATATATTGGTTTTGGAGACATTTCTAGATTTAGGTGATTTTCAACAAGACAAGCAGCAAAGATTATCTCCATTTGTAAACCTCATACTTAATCCAAGTCTAATGTGGCTGAAAATCACTGTGTTGGAAAGTCATCTTAATTTCAGTTACCCCTAACTCACCTTAGTTGTAGCCTTTTTGGGGCCTGTCTTAATTGCAATGTCAAGGGTCTTGTTTAGTCTCACATTGACTACAAATATTGATTACATTAGAGCCTAGAAAGATTGGAGCATTTTCAATGCCTAAGTCTATTTGTGTGGAGTTGAGTTAGATCCTAATCCTGAATTTTAGAAGATACTCAGTAGTTGATAAATGGACTGTGAAAGACAAGTAGGAGGGGTTGAAATGGAATTTTATAATATTTTTTATTTTTATAAGCAAAAAGAATTAGAGACCTCCCAGATCTGGGGTTTTATAATACAGCTAAGAGACCACTGACTACAATTGTTGTCGTGTTTTTGTATAGTTCTACTTATCAGTTTTGTTAATTTAAATGCAACACCCATGATTATAAATAAATTAATACCTTTTTATACAAAGACATTTTTATATAGTTTATATAAAATAACATTTTTGTATTGATATATTTGTTCTATATCACTATATCAGTAAAGAAAGCATGGTCCAAACACAAATAATGGGATCACTGTAACCCAATCCAAGATGGTCTTTTCATGACCACTGCAGCATGATGAATAACACCCTTCTTTTGCACTAGTTTAAGAGAAAAAATCTTTTTATAACTATTTTTAATACACAACAAAACTTAAGGAGATTGAGAGGAAGAAAATGTTTAGTGGTGTTTGGTATCTATCCCCGTACTTCTGTAGTTAGTATGAGAGTTGTGGGAATTAGGAAGTCTTGGAGTTAGTGTCGTCAAAATGGGTTGAAACCCGTGAGCCAACCCGGATCACCACGGGTTTGAGCCAGGTTGGGTTGGAAAAAAATGTAAAATTTTTTATGCGAGCAAATTTTGACCCGGCTCACTAAGAACCCGACTCACACGGGTTGAACCCGTGGTGGGTTGAGTTGACTCATCAATCCACCTATTTTTTTAATTAAATTAAATTAATTATTCAAATCCTATTTTTTTTATTAAAATCAAATTAAATAAATTAATTATTCAAAATGCACAACCTTTACTTAGCAATAGAGCATTTCGCGCTTCTGTCTTTCCAAAAGTTCCCCTCTGCAAATAAAACCCTAAGATTATAGATTGGATAATATTATAGATGGAGATAAAGAAGAAGATGCTTCAAGAGAGCATAATACTGTGAATTTATCCATTCATGACTCCAATTTAATAGATGGATAATATTATAGATTGGATAATTCAAGAATATATAATTTGTTTTATCTTGTTTTTAGACTTATCTACAAGCAAGCATGACAGTTTTATCTTGTGCTATATATTTTTGTTAACAGTTATATGTAGTTTCTTGGTCAAACGGTTGTGTATATCTCATTCAACTAAATTGGCAAAATTTTATGCTTGATAGCTTATAATATATATATAACAATATATTTCTTTTGTTTCATTTTCTTTTATATCAATTGGTCCAATTATTACTATTTCAATTTGATCGATCAAAGTAACATGTTATAATAATCTGAGAAGAGGGTGAAAAAAAGTTAATTAAGTCAGCCAATGAGCCAACCCGTTTAACCCACCAACCTGTGGTGGGTCGAATTTTTTCAGCTCGCTAATAAATGAGTCGGGTTGAGTTGACTCACTAAGTAGCCAACCCGTGATGGGTCGGGTCGGGTCGGGTCGGGTTACCCGTTTTGATAGCTCTACTTGGAGTATTGTTGTCTTGTATATATTTAGGATTTAGGATTTAAGATTATTGACAATTTGGTGCAATCTTTACGCATTCTTTTTGTATTGTTATCCTACAAGAGTAATTTAGTATGCTTTAGTCTGTGTCTTCCTCTTCCCCGTCTTTCCCTCCTTCTTAGGCCAAATTTAATTTTGAATGGCCTATATATAGGTACAGTCCAATGGTTTAGTTGTTGGAAAGATGCTACCTTCCAGCTTTCTTATTTGAACATACGTTGACCTGATGAAGTGTTCATTTTTGTCAATATAGGTTGGAGTTTCACCTGCATCTTGGAAATGCTCTGAAGAATTCTTTTCTCGTCAAATTAGGAATCGAGATCCCCTTAAAATAGGGTTAGCTTGCTACATCTGATGCTTTCCCTTTTAGCATATTATATCAAGTCCTTCTGTACAGTTCAATAACTTTCTCGTCAAAATATTTCCTTTGACTTGCAGTTTTTCAAACATCTGGGCTTTACGGTTAGTGCGTCGTTTGTTACATTGGGATCCAGTAAGTTGTCAGCTTAAAATGGATTTCTTGTCATGTTTACCCTCAAAACATGTTTTATTGATGAAAGTGTAAATTGTTTTCGATGATATCATTGAAGTTTGATTGACTTATTTATTGGGATCCAGTAAGTTGCAAGAATAAAATGGATTTCTTGTCATGTTTACCCTCAAAATATGTTTGATGGATGAAACTATGTAAATTGTTTACCACCATATTTTATTGGAGTTTGATTGACTTATCTATGTGGAGTTGTACTAAGTTCTGCATTTCTATTAAATCTGTCCATGGAGGAAAAGAACAAGACACATGAAGGAGCCCATATGTTTGCATCACCCAATAGGACAAATATTTATGTTGGGTTTCATAAATGCAAGAAAAATGACAAGAATGTGCAGTTACCCGAATTAACAGAATTTCAGTGATATACAATATGTTCCAAGTTAGAGCATATAAATCTTGTACCAAGCCTATTATATAACTAATTTGAGGGTCTTTAAATTATTTGTGAAAATATCTTTAAGTTGATCATTTCAATTGATAAAGCTAGTGGTTTGTCTCTGAATAATTGGTTGTGTCAACAATTGTTGTGCAGTATTATTTCAACAATTGTCAGAACTGTACACCAACATCTGGATACGATGGAAGACACTTCCATGCCAAAGATTATGAAAAAGGACCTCCAACTACACCCGTCAATTTGACCAACCAACAGGGCTTGGGGCAAAAGAGCCCACATGGCTCGGGCAATGAAAGCCCCATGGGCTAGGGCCAATCCAATCCATGGGCTGGTCTATGCAAGTTAATCCTAGGTTAAGATAAATAGGGCTTGTCATACCCAAGTCAAATATGTCATTTGGGTTGGGCCCATGTTAGACGTTGATTAAGAGTGGAATAGATATTATAGAAGGAACGATAGCATATGGAAGGTTTACTGTAGAACGAGAAATAAAAGTAAGCAGTGGAAAGGTATGTGGATGCAGTGCTGTCAGTTGGCAGTTGATCTATATAGTTAGACCAGTCAGTTCCTTGTAGGGGGCATTCATTTATGTTGCAAGTCTTTGACTTTGTGACAGGGAATACCCTGTGTTAAAGGAAGCTTTTTTCTTTGTAAACTTTGGCTTATACGGCTAATAGTGAATAATCAAGTTTAGAAGTTTTTCGTAGTTCTTTTCAGTCTTGTTTTTCTCTTCACGGTTTTTGGGCGCCTAACGGTCAATGTCCTGTTTGGTGTTGTGTTAGAGTCAGTGGTTAATAGGTTAAGAGTATCAAAACACGTTAAAACACATAATGAGGAAGGATTCTTTTTTCTTTCAAACTTCGTTGAAATATTCTTGACTATATTCATTTCATGATCTTGGGCTTAAACTCGAAATTCACTGTATATTTCCCACTCCACAAAAAAGAACAGATTTGGCTAATAGTAGTCTGTATTTTAATTGTCTGCTGCTACTATATCTAATCAAGGCTTCTGTCATAACTGTAGGAGGATCGGCCAAGTATTGATGAGGCTCTTCAACATCCTTATTTCCAACATCCCCGCAGAGAGTGATTATATAGAAAACGATAAGGTCTTCTCCACCGATTTATTCATTTACAGGTAAGTAATCTGTGCCTCTAACTTATAAGCTTATGTTAGAATTTTGTCTATAGAACTTACAATAAGCTTGTATCTCATGATAGCTTGTGCTATAAAACTTAGGTTAAATAAGTTTTTGATCCCTTAAAATTGGTTCAAATTGAAATTTTTACATCCAAATTTTTTTCAGCGTTTTTTAGATCCCTCTGTTCGTTACTATCTTACTTTTGAATTAATTATATTAACATGCTAATTATAACAATGTCCCATGAAATGTCTAGTGATTGATTTTGTGAGACTCTTAAGAGTAACAAAGTTACTGCTTGGACCAAATTAGCATATTTAAGAGTAATAAAGTTACTATTTGGATCAAATTATTAAATATTTATAAAAACACTGAACAAATTGTATGGTTTCTAAAAACTTAATCAACCCTAACTTTTATAACTAAAGCTAGTCCTTTTCATCATCCTAAATAAACAGTATATAAACTCTTCCAAATACCTCTTGAATGAATTGATATTGGTTAAAGTTGAAAATAAGACTAATTTATTATTCTCAATCATAAAATATACATTCTGATACCCTCTATTTGTAATAATCTAATTCTCCTAAAAAGGGAAATAGGGAAACTAGGAAAATAAAATAAAATAAAAGATTATATATCTATTTCCTCTAATTAGGAAGATTCTAAAGATATTATCTCAAATTACAACACTCCCCCTCAAGCTAGATCATACAAGATTGTATGAACCAACCCTCGAATAGTCAAACTCAATTGTAGAGAAGGTCAATAAACCAAATTGGACAGCAATGGACAAAAGCGAACTAGCACAATGAAACTTCAACTTGGACAACAATGAACGAAGGTGAACTAGCACCATGAAACTTCAACTTGGACAGTAATGGACGAGGGCGAACTAGCACCATGAAACTTCAACTTGGACAGTAATGGACGAGAGAGATTTCCATCAAAACTGGATGATGACTTGTAGCAGCAAACAACAACAAACTACAAGAACAGATGAACGACCTCTAGTGGCAAACAGCAACAAACTGCAGGGACTGGATTGCCATCAATAGTGGCGAACAGCAACAAAACTTCAAGAACATGATTTCCATGTGTAGCATATGGGAGGCCTTCAAAGGCTAACAGCCACAAACCTGTAGGGACTTAACTACCCTAAACAGCAACAAACATTCAGGGACTTAACTGCCCTAAACAGCAACAAGCCTTCAGGAAACAACTGTCCTGCAGAGGCTAACAGCAACAGACCAGCAGGGACTACACTACCTTGCAGCGGCTGGAACTAAAAGGCTAACAGCCACAAACCTATAGGGACTTAACTACCCTAAACACCAACAAACCTTTAGTGACTTAATTGCCCTGAACAACAACAAGCCTTCAGGAAACATCTATCCTGCAAAGGCTTACAGCAACAGGGACTACACAACCCTGCAACGGCTGGAACTTTCTCCTCCTCACGACTGAACAACCGACGTGTATGTGGAAGAACTGGTGAGAACCGATCCGTACGAGGGACAAATTTGAATCCCATAACTTTGAAAGAGGTTGTCCCCCATAACTTCGAAAGAGTCAATGCAGTGGGCGGTCTCAAAGAACAACTCTCAGTGAGCTGTTATAACAAAGCATTGACAGTGAAGAGAGCCTTTCACATTAGTGATGGTAGAAACCAAAAAACACCAAATGCCGAAGACACTTTGGAGGTCCTAAGTTCTCTACTAGACTAATCCCAAATGGTGATACTTACACTATATCACAAAAGTACGAGCTAAACTCTAGCCCAAGACGAAAGTTCTCTACCGGGGCTGAAAAATATTTCCCCTCACGGCAAACAGAGGAAACAAAGGCTAATACACTTCATGAGACACTCTTAATCTTGACCAAAGAAAATGCGGCAGCTTATTGAGGCAGCAGCGACAAATTGCAGAGGTTACAACAACTGACTGTAGCAACAGTGGCATTAAAGCACCCGCCAACAAGGCTGATGAATTGTTGATTGGAACATCAGAACTACAGAAATAGACTCCCCTTCATGCCACAGGCCAATGGAGACATCACACTTGCAAGAGAGAATCACGGAATTGTAACCAGATGGTGGAGACAGGCAGTGCCACAGGTGCCAGTGCATTCGGTGGCACAAGTGGCGGAGACGTCAACAAGAAGCACCAATCAGTGCCGCACAATAAAGAGAAAGAAGAAACCCATTGGTGGTGGCAAAAAGCCCGTGAAGGCAGAGAACCCTTCTCAATGGAGAAGCAGATGACAAAAGTGGGAGAAGTAGTACTAGGAACTGGCGCATCAGCAGCGAAGACGAAGCATTGTTGCTCGAGAAACAAAAAACGAATGAAGCTTGCGGCGAATAGTGAGAAGCAAAGAAGACGCAGATTCTGCTATGGAGGGTCATAACAGAGAGGAGGAGGTCCGGCGAGTCGACCGAAAGCGACGTGGTGTGATTCCGATACTGGGAAAGAAAGGCGCGTGACAAACACACACACGAGATCTGACGGAGAGAAGAAGCGCGTGACAACACGTGCGGAGGGGTCTGAAACATCGACCACTAGGGTTAGGTCGCGCTCGAAGAGACGATCCAGATCTGCGGGTCATCGGTCAGAACTGTGACAGTGACCAGCGGCGGACGGTGACCGCGGCGATGCACAGCGGAGTAAGCAACAAAGGCAGTGGCCTTTCTTGGGTTCTTCGAAGAAGAGACTTTCGGTCTCTTTGATTCAACTGGCAGTCAATAAGAATGCCAAAAGGAGCCAAAATTGATTGGGCATCAACAGATCTAAAGCACGAGTTTCAGCTACTAGTCCGAAAGGGAATGGGTTCGAATCTCATTCTGATCATACTCAAAGAAACTCTGTATTTGGTAATACTAGAAAAAAAAAAAAGGCCAGAATTCTAAGCCAGAACTTGACTAGGGCAATTGGAACCCATTAAAAACACATGTTAAAGAACAGACTTTTAGGGGACCGCTGGCAAAGACAGCGGAAGCGGATCAGACAGGCTTTGATACCAAGTTGAAAATAAGATTGATTTTGTTATTCTCAATCATAAAAAATACATTTTGATATCCTCTATTTGTAATAATCTAATTCTCCTAAAAAAGGGAATATAGAAACTAGGAAAATAAAATAAAATAAAAGATTATATATCTATTTCCTCTAATTATGAAGATTCTAAAAATATTATCTCAAATTACAACAATTAATGTCAAGTAAACCTTTACTTTAGTCCTTTTATATATAATTATAGGTGACAATCACTTTAGTCTTATAATGTAATGAANGATACTGGGAAAGAAAGGCGCGTGACAAACACACACACGAGATCTGACGGAGAGAAGAAGCGCGTGACAACACGTGCGGAGGGGTCTGAAACATCGACCACTAGGGTTAGGTCGCGCTCGAAGAGACGATCCAGATCTGCGGGTCATCGGTCAGAACTGTGACAGTGACCAGCGGCGGACGGTGACCGCGGCGATGCACAGCGGAGTAAGCAACAAAGGCAGTGGCCTTTCTTGGGTTCTTCGAAGAAGAGACTTTCGGTCTCTTTGATTCAACTGGCAGTCAATAAGAATGCCAAAAGGAGCCAAAATTGATTGGGCATCAACAGATCTAAAGCACGAGTTTCAGCTACTAGTCCGAAAGGGAATGGGTTCGAATCTCATTCTGATCATACTCAAAGAAACTCTGTATTTGGTAATACTAGAAAAAAAAAAAAGGCCAGAATTCTAAGCCAGAACTTGACTAGGGCAATTGGAACCCATTAAAAACACATGTTAAAGAACAGACTTTTAGGGGACCGCTGGCAAAGACAGCGGAAGCGGATCAGACAGGCTTTGATACCAAGTTGAAAATAAGATTGATTTTGTTATTCTCAATCATAAAAAATACATTTTGATATCCTCTATTTGTAATAATCTAATTCTCCTAAAAAAGGGAATATAGAAACTAGGAAAATAAAATAAAATAAAAGATTATATATCTATTTCCTCTAATTATGAAGATTCTAAAAATATTATCTCAAATTACAACAATTAATGTCAAGTAAACCTTTACTTTAGTCCTTTTATATATAATTATAGGTGACAATCACTTTAGTCTTATAATGTAATGAAATCCGCACACTACTCTCATTATACAAAATGCCAGTCACTTTCTTGTGTTAACTGAAAAATGAAATGGACAAGAACTATAGTAATACTTTTTTTGCATAGTGTGGAACTAAAATGGATATTTTAGAATGTTAAAAAGTAATGTGATCGACTCTCAATTGTGGGTTTTACAATGATTTTGTCTCTTCTATTACTGAAAACGTGTCCCAGAACAGAAATGTGGCAGTTTTATTTTGTCTATATACGTGGAGGATTCTTGTTTGATAAGATTATGCCAAATAAATATTTTAATAGTATTGCAAGGCCCTCGTCATTTTAGTAGTCCCCGACAGATTATGCAACAGTTATTGGCCTTCATCTTTTTAATAGTATTGCAATGCCGAGGGTTAATGCTGCAAATATGGAGATGAAACCTGCTTTGATTCAATTGGTGAAGAGCAACCAATTCAATAAATTATCACATGAAAATCCGTATGAACATATGACCACATTCAATGCGATATGCAATACTGTGAAGATCAATGGCGTACCAAATGAAGCTATTAGAGTTAGCTTGTTCCCTTTCTCGTTGGAGGCCATGCTACTAAGATGTGGTTGAACTCTTTTCCAGAGAACAGTTTCCCTGAGTGGGAAGCAGTAGTTGCAAAATTTCTGAATAAATATTTCCCACAATCAAAAGTGAACAAAGGTAAACAAGAAATTTCTTCTTTCAAGTAGGGCATGGATGAAACATTAGGTCAAGCGTGGGATCGATTCAAAGGTTTATTGCGGAAGACACCTACACATGGCTTTGATGATCCTACAGTAGTCATTCAATTCCTTGGAGGTCTAAGCTCGTAGACTAAATTAATGCTGGATGCCTCAGCTGGAGGTAATATCAAGTGCAAGACTCCAGAGGAAGCCTATGAATTGATTGAAAATATGGCTACCAATGATAATGAGATGCACAGTGAAAGAACTCAACTTCAACAGAAAGGAGTTCTACAACTACAATCTCAAGATGCTCTGTTAGTGGAAAACAAGATTATGAGTTCTACAACTACAACTACAAGATCATTGAATTGCCCAGCTTGCCCTTGACCCATAAACTTGACTTCCTCTTGGGTAACTTCTGGCATAGCACATTGACCATTAATATGATCTCCACCAAATAACTCACAAAGTTGTTGTTGAACTTGAGAAACATTCTGCAACTCCTTTGGCAATTGAGAGATTTTCTTCATCAGAGTTTCCAACTATTGAGTCATAATCTTATTTTGCGCCAACAGAGCATCTTGAGATTGTAGTTGTAGAACTCCTTTCTGTTAAAGTTGAGTTCTTTCACTGTGCATATCATTATCATTGGTAGCCATATTTTCAATCAACTCAAGCTTCCTCTGGAGTCTTGCACTTGATATTACCTCCAGTTGAGGCATCCAACATCAATTTAGTCTACGAGCTTAGACCTCCAAGGAATAGAATGACTACTGTAGGATCATCAAAGCCATGTGTGGGTGTCTTCCGCAATAAACCTTTGAATCGGTCCCACGCTTGACCTAATGTTTCATCCATGTCCCGCCTGAAAGAAGAAATTTCTTGTTTACCTTTGTTCACCTTTGAATGTGGGAAATATTTGTTCAGAAATTTTGTAACCATTGTTTCCCACTCAGTAAAGTTGTTCTCTGGAAAAGAGTTCAACCACATCTTAGCATTGTCTCCCAAAGAGAAAGGGAACAAGCTAAGTCTAATAGCTTCATCTGGCACGCCATTGATCTTCACAGTATTTCATATCTCATTGAATGTGGTCCGATGCTTATATGAATTTTCATGTGATAATCCATTGAATTGGTTGCTCTTCAACAATTGAATCAAAGCAGGCTTCATCTCCATATTTGCAGCATTAACCATCGGCCTTGCAATACTATTAAAATGATGAAGGCCAATAACTGTTGCATAATCTGCCAGGGTACGTCTACCATTCTGCTCTTCAGTCATATTTTTTGTTTCCTTGCCAGATCTTTGAGGTGAAGGGTCTCAAGAGAAGGGAAAAGTTCTCTGGACGTCCTTGTTCCTCCTTTTTCTTCTACTAGTAAAAAGAGGTTCAGAAACTCTCGTGCTTCTAGTCCGAATTGTACCCTGCATACACTAGAGCACCCAATTAGCACCAACAGATAAAAACAATAAAAAATAAAGTCTAATCGGTTAAGAATCACACAAAAGTATAGTTTAAATCATGAGTCCCCGACAAGTGTACCGAATTGTATCAAATAATAATAAATGGTATCGTTTCCCTAGAGACTCACGACACTAAACAGTCGTTTAATTACTTAACTAATTAAGACTTTTAAGAACAATTTTGGGTTTTTAAATGAAAAAACAAGAAAGTAAATATGAATGTAATTTTGATCAATTGAATAGAAATGCAAAAGGGAATGATGATGTTTGTAATATGAGATGAAGATGTTGTTGGGGTTTAGATTTCACCTAATCAATCTCATGCATATAATAATTCTTGTTTATTAAATGTCAATGTCACTTTCTAAATTACTTAGAACCCGATGTCTCGGTGAAATAAAACTATCCTTAATTACTAGACCACAATGTCTTGCATCTTTAATAATTAATTTTGCGTTACAAACGGAAGCTTAAGACAACCAAACGTTCTATCCATATGTCTAGGCAATAGTTCCCGAAATTCCCCAGTTCTAGGTTTCTAGGTATTTAGCAATAACAAAGAAAACCAAAAATCATGCCATGAATGAGTTAAACATAACACACAGAGTAAAGGAGAATAACCCTAACAATTAATGAAAGAAGCATATATAAATTGAAATCAATTCAAATACATGAGAGTTTAGAGGTTACATCTTCTCCAACAACATATGAATTTAGTTCTCCATTGTCATGGAGAAACTAGATGTACAATGGAATGAGAATGAAAGATAAGCCCTAAAAACCGAAGAGGAGAGCTTCCGCATCCAATTTTGCCTCCAGAGAGTCGAAAAAGTCTGAATTTGCGTCCCTTCTGTCAAAAGATACCAACCCTAGGACGAACAAATCCTTAAATAGAGCAGAAAACAAAGTCCAAGCCCAACATGTTGACGCTCAGCGCCCCTACATAAGGCAGCCAGGAGCTGGTACGAGAGGAGTGGCGCTGAGGGCCCATAAGAAGGCGCCTAAGCGCTGTGCGACACAAGGAGGATGGCGCTCAGCGCCTCAGAAAGGGCGCCCAAGCGGTGATGCGAGACATCCTACGCTGAGGGTCCTAGAAAAGGGCAGCTAGACGCCCATACGAGACATCCTGCGCTAAGGGCCCTAGAAAGGGGCAATCAGGCATCCTTCGACCTTCTGTAGCCTTCTTTTCTAGTGCTTTTTCTATCCTTTTTGGATTCCAACTCCTTTGTACTTTAACTCCTCTTCCAAATCATTCCAATTTCCTACAAAATCAAAGGAATTTAGTAATAAAAATCATAAATTCTAAACTCAACTCTCTTTACTCACAACTTAACTAAAAACAATAGTTCAAGTAGGTTTCTAAGTCAAAAAGAGCTCATTTAGTATCAAAATTGAATCACAAATAACGGTGAAATCAACAATTATCAATCGACACTTAATTGCGGGTTTTACAATGGTTCTGTCTCTTCTATTACTGAAAACGTGTCCCAGAACAGAAACAGGGCAGTTTTATTTTGTCTATATACGTGGAGGATCCGTGTTTGAAAAAAGATGATGCCAAAAATACAAATACTGACTACTAAATAGGGCCATAGTCGCATGATTGACGACCCGGAGGATCCTATGAGCATCGAATGCTTCATATTTTACATTGAATTATAAAAAAAGTTAGTGGTGTTTCTTTGTCTTGATTTTATAAAAGAATAATTGCATTACAGCACATGAGAGAGCGGAAACAATATCAATGATAGGTTCTGCAAATATTTATTCATTTTGTTCTTCCTTCAGATGTTGAAGGAGGGTTTAAATGAACTTTGCTGATTTTAGCTGCATCATGAACTACAATATATCATTATCCTTTATTTTAGTTGGTTGGCTGGTTCTTAATGACTGCTATTTCATCTCATTTGATTTCCTTCAGATGTGCTGTAATGACATTATGAAAGTTAATATGCCTCTTCAAGGACATCGAGGAAAGCTGAAAATCTAGCGGGGCGGTTGGCATCAAATATCGTCTGTAATTGGCATGGAAACTTTAGTAGAATAAAATATTTGGAATTCATGAAAGGCTCGTCACAAAGAAAGATCAATATTGCCTCTGCTTAGAACAGCCTTTACGGCGCATTCGGCCAAACATGATGAGAATACTGGTCGGTGAAAATTCTAAAATCAGTCACACGTGTTAGAGAGACGTGTTCGATTTTTTATCATCCCATACAGTACAATACATTAATGCGCTGTGTTAATAAAATTCCTTTGTATATCCGTGTATAAGAAGAGCTCATGTTCGTAAGGAAATGCTTGCAATTAAGATTTAAAAAGTATTTTTAAAAAAAAGATTGATATTCAATATAAATTATGAGAATAGGGTAATAAACTTGCTATTCAATTGAGATTGTAAAGGATTATTTTTCTAATTTAATTTTTATGGATTTTTGGGTTACTTTTATCGATCTCTTCTAATTTCAAACATTTTTTACACTCGAGTAATTGTTTTTAAGTTATTGCTTCCATATTATTTTAATTATTGTGATACGTATGACACCATTTAGAAAAATGTCATTTCTTACTGAGACAATGGTATTAAGAGACAAAGATGCTGAATGATTTTTTGCTTAACCAACAGTCAGTATACTAATAATGACTAATAATGAGTAGTGACAGTTGATCACGTTCTCATTTAAATTCCTGATTGATTTGATGAAGTGGATAAAAATGAGATGTGGCAGGTTAAATGGTAATCCAGTCATGATATGGTGAATAGCAAACTTTCCCATATCAGTTATATGATCCCTACGTCACTTTTGTGCAATAATGTCTTGGAGCAAATGAATTGGAGAATCTTGACATATATCCAGAGATGTTCATACATAATTTTTTTGCCTACAAATTCCTTTTTGAAGTTTACTCTATAGAGTGAGCATTCAATGGTTCCTTTGATAGTATACATTTGATCTTATCCTTCAAAATAGCAATTGTTGAACCTCAGGCATTCAGGTGCAGCAGCAATGGTTTCAATATTTACAATCACCTATTTTCCAATAACTTTAGAGACAAGTTTGTTGGACTGTATTTTTACTTTTGTCCAGAATTGTCTAACTAATTTCATCAGTATTGGAGTATCCAGTTGAAGAAGTTTGTGATGCCGCAACGATGAACATCTTGAAAAGGTTTGCATCCATATGCTATGAGATTTTCAAGATCCACCAAGTGTTCGAAATAGAGTCTTATGGGTTTCTCTTCAGATGCATGAATGACTGAGACATGTGTTGCAGTTTTGTATGCTTCATTGATGGAAATTTTAGCATCTTGTGCAATGGCCATGGTGGGGTGAAGAGTTTTCTTTGGGAAAGAAAGTTTTGGGTATATTAGGGTTTTTGAGGGTTTGTGGAAGAAAGTGTTGAGATTTCTTAGGAAGCACGAAGATGTTTGAGGTTCTGGTGGTTAAGTGTATGGGATAAAAGAGATTTCTTGGAATAGTTAGAGATTGAGGGCAATCATGGTATTTAATGTTGTGTACGGTTTTTGTCATTCTTTTCAAATTTCGTTTATTTGTTCAGAAAGGTTTCTATTGGGCCAGTTCGTTTTGGACTCAACACTGAATCATGTTATACATGTATGCAATGCCCCTTAGACTATTTGTCTTGGACTATCATGTAATGAGTCTTTAGATTATATGTTTTAGAATTTAAGCATTTAGACACTGACAAATTACATACTAGGTGCAAAATTATTAATTTAAGAGTTAAGAATCTTACTCCCGTTGGTGTCATAGCTTTAAGTTGTTTCTTTCCTTTATGTGTCTTCTTCCAACATCTCAATGTCAGTAGATGATCCTCTTTTTCAAGAGAAGGTAGCTTAGCCTTCGTTTGTGGATGAATGTGGTCTTGACATGCTAGTTGATGTCATCAGTTACTTTAATTTTTGAATGAACCTTCTTGACCAACGATGAGTAACTGGGTTTCCTTTTCTCCTTCAAGTATTTCATTTGTGAAGCTTTCAGTGCCTGTAGAAAGAAATTACTTACCTCTGACCTTACGGCTTTTACTTGTTGCTTTATTATGTACGGTTTTTTCAATCATAATAATGTATCTGCTGTTATATTGACTGTTTATCAACAGATCATATCATGTTTGTACCTTTTAAAGTAAACATTATAATCATGGTTTGACAAAACAAGAAAGATGACCAGGTAACACATACACAAACCATTTCCAAAAGATATTTCCACTTTTTACAATGTCCCATATGACTTATGATCATTCATTGCTTTTGGTGGTTAAAACTTTGAAAATATACCCAATGTTTTCTACTAGGATAATTTTCCTAAGTCCTGATAAGAATTAACCCTTGAGACTAACTTTGATACCAATTGAAGTGCAAAAAACACGGGGAGAATGGTTGAATATTGTTTTCAAAAGACTTTAGCAAGAAAATGTTTATCTAATTTTAATTGTTAGATAATTTATATTGATAGTTAAATTAAACATGTGCAAAACATAATAGAGCATTTAGAAAAACATTTGTAATAGAATAAATAAACACACAAGTATTTTTATACTGATTCACTCAACTTGAACTATATTCAGTCTTTCTCAAGAACACTTAAAGGCTTCTAATAATCTTATTCAAGATTATATTGAGTATAACTCACTTCTAGTTACAATTATTATTATCACTTTTGGTTCCGTAATCAATCCTGATTAGTTCAAGTATTACACTCCTTCTTCCCTAGTCAATCCTGATTAGTCCGAGTATTATAAGTCACTTTTGGTTCCCTAGTCAACACGACTAGTCCGAGTTTAATCACTCTTTGATTTTCAAGTGTTTTAATACAAGATGGAAATGACTCTCGTAGAGAGGATATTTGATCAATACAACATATTCCTAAATTCTTGTAATTGATCTCTCCTTCTCTTTGGATGAAAGATTTCAATGATGTAAGCTTGGAGTAGAAGACTTGTTTTTTGTTTGCTCTATTATTATCTTTCTTCTCTCTTTTGATTGAGCATCTGACATTGTGGGCTCGAAGATAAACATCATAATAGATATTCAAGAATAATCCATAAGGATGTATTTGTTTTACGGGTCTATCTAAGTTGGAATGCTAATAAGCAAAAGATTTTAGAAATTGTTCAAAACAAGAAAACAAAAATAGATAAGAAGATGAAGTGGAAATTGATAGATGTCATACTTCCAAGGATGAAAGATAAGTCTAAGAGTTAAACGCACAAAGGGATGAAAGACCTATGATAAAACTTAAGGGTTCTTAAATCACTCAAGAAATTAGGAAAATCACTTTTTTTTAATTGATAAAAATAGTTACACTTATATAGAAGCTTTAGACATTAGAATTACAAAGGATTAATTAATTGCAATTACATTCCATTTAAGCTAATAATGGTCCCACTAAACTAATGGTTGATTGTAAATGGAATTATGGTAACCAAAAGTCACCCAAAAGCATTCAACTTTCATTCTTTTTGGTTTCCCAAAGGCTCATGACTAAGTGACCAATTTAATCCTTATTACAACTTTAAATAAAAGTAAAATAAAGTCCATTAATTGATTGATCCAAAACATAACTTGGTTAGCCAATTTTGCAAAGCATTAAGCCATTATTTAAACAACCTAATTTCTTAAAAATTGTAGCAAAGTGGCATGTCACCATATTGGTTGGATTCACATCAATTATCTATGGTGGAGAACTTAGAGTTTTCAAATTAAAGGAATATGGAAGAAATTGAAATCATATGTCAAAAGCAAGCATTCTCGTAAGGTTTTTGGCAACTATTCCACACTCCAATTTGTAGCTTTTTTCCTTCTTCAACCCACGTCGGGAAAAACCACCTTAGATGAAGATAGAAACCTAAGGAGGAAAAGGGAGAGAATCCCAACACCTTTAGCGGCCTCTAAGGGCCTCTCCTAAGACCCTAAGATGAAGAGAACTTGGAAAAATAGAAGAAAATATAGATAAGTTGTGAAAACAGGATTAAATGCTTCTATTTCACACAATAGGCTGATATTCTCATCCAACGACTCAATTATTGCCCAATGAGGCTTAAATATTTTATGCTTTTTGACTTGTTGAACAAGAAATTACGCTTAACCTAAAAAAATGACGCTCAACCTCATTTTTGTTTAGTTTTACCTCTTTTTTCAAGCTTTCTTGAATTCCACATTGTTTTGATCAACAAAAATGCTTTCTGTTTCTACTGAAAGGGACCGAGGGAAACTCCTGTTGCTACTGCTCGGGAACGCTCCTCCTCCACCGATCGGTCCTTCTCACTTCCGCCTTAACTCCTGACTCTTACTCTCTCAATATCAAACTGGGGTGACCTGCAGAAAACACTCCGATGCTCAAGTCAGAATTTATCTTCGCAAGTCTATCGAAAATTAGTCAAAAAATAAAGAGTTTACCTTCTCCATCGATTGTTATTTATATGGTTTCAGAGAATATTATCCATTAATTTACCTCTTAATGACGTTCAATGCTCACTTTAACTGCTCGACAATGACCGTTACCTCATTAATTACGCATTCATGGATATTCAAATGTTGTCTCCAGCCAAAGGCTAGAAAGGCCCGATGGCCCGATCAGACTGATTGGACTGTCGGTCTCACCTACTCGGTATTTGCTAAGCATGAATCGTTATTGGCTAAGTATGCCCGGTCGGTCGATCCTACTCGGTAGTAACACAAGTCCCCCAAGCCCTAGCAAATTAATTTTGCGTAGGGTTTTGAAGTGGTCTCCGATCGGTTAGCATCTTTCCTTATCCAAGCCTTCAATTGTATTATTTCTATTTACAAGGGCGGGAAATCGTAGAGTCACGACTGTAAATTTTAGGCGGGAAAGGCGAAAATGAAGCGTCAGATCGCCTAAACCGTCAGATCTTTCTGCAAGCGAACCGTCAGATCGCCAAGACCGTCAGATCTTTCTGCATTTGACGTTCCAGATGCGCTTGGTGAATCGTTTTTTTTTTTACCTTGTATAAATAGCCACACCTTTGTCCTAATTTTTTACTCCTTTCTTCTCGTCGTTGCCACTGTCTTCTGCTTTACCCTCTCGTTCCTATCTTCCTCATTCTCAGGTAATCATGTCTTTCGACTTCTCCGGCGAAGCGGGCAGGGGGTACGCCGACGACGATGTTGGTTCTCCATCTTCCTCCTTGGTTGCCATTGCTGGTCAGGGTGTTGGGGCTTCTCCGTCAGGGAACTCCTCCGATCTCCTAGTAGATAGCGATGGTCCTGAGGAAGTTGCCATCCACGTGGACTCCTCTAGCGCCTGGGATGGGAAACCCCGGATTTGGCCTATTGTTCCCGGCTACGATTGGGCTCCTCATGAGGTTAGACAAATTTCTTCCTCCTTCCATAGTCGCCGCCCATTTAGGGAGTTGATTCGTAATATCTGTC